ATTAAGAGGAGAAATGTCAGAAGAAATAAGAAGAGATATACCAGTTGAAGTTGCAGTTGAAGTTGTTACTGAGAGTAGACAACAAATCACAGAGGATTTATCCAGTGTATTGCCAGTACACCATACCGAGTCTACCATGCCTATCATGGCCCTGTTCTAGAAAATGAAGATTTATTTGCAGACAACTACACAAGAACAGAAGTCTTAGAAGAAGAGATTGGTGATCTCAATCAAGAAGTCGAATCACCTGAAGAAGAAGAAAGGATGCAACTTGTAGACACACCCGTTCTCACAGATCCGAGAAGGAGTCCATTTGGATCTCCTCAAAATATTGTGCAGACAAGTGATCAAGAAGATGGCATTTTTACATCCTTATTTGCCAGAGTTGCCGAATCCGGTGATGTTGTTTGTCAAACCATTGGAGAAAAGTTGATTGAACAAAATCAATTGATGGATCAACAACACACCGATACACGAATCAATCTGAAGGAATTAATGGAGTATCAAAATATTTTGAAGACTCAGATTGACAAAGCTGAAAGGATCTTGAAAGGAGAATTGACAAAAGGCTTACTTGAAGTGATCCAACTCATGAAGAAGGAATGTGAAGCAGCTAAAAATATTCACAACGAACGTCAGTTGCGACAAATCAAGGCAATTCAAGATCAAGAAAGCCGAATCAACAAACTTGAAGCTGAGCTCACAGTTGCAACAAACAAGCTAGAAAATGTACAAGCTGTTTCCATTGAAACACACAATAGTGTTGAAACCGTGAAGGCAAACCAAGACCGAGATTGTAAAACCCTTGCATTTTTTGTTGATAACGCCAAAAGGGGGGAAGAAATTCTCAATCGCTTGGCTTTGCAACAACAAGAATTTATTCTTGGAAGCCAACAACAGCCAGTAATACCTACCCAAGGTCGAGGCCGAAGCCGCAGACAATCCTCACAAGGACCATCTCAGATTGGAAGCCAGTATTCTTGGAAGCCAACAACAGCCAGTAATACTGACCCAAGGTCGAGGCCGAAGCCGCGGACAATCCTCACAAAGACCATCTCAGATTGGTTATGCTCAGTTCGCGAATCCTAGTCTTGGTACGAGTACATCGAAAGTTGCTAAAACTCGTGGGTGGTTTGAATGCTCTAAAGGTCCCGCCACTCAGACAACAATATGGACTAAGCAAAATCTACCAAGGATGATCAAGAAATGGCCTGCAGCCGATCAAGCCCAATAGATCTCGGGCAAGAATAAAGAAGAAGAAGGCAAGAGGAAAAGAACCGAGATGTGGTATGAACTAAGAGATTTCATTGGAAATATGGGCATGAATCTTGGAGAAGAAAGAAGCTTCGAAGAATGTATTTTATGGTAGGAAGCTGGAGTTCTTCAAGGCAATAATATCAAAGAAGCTTTTGGATATTACATGGCCGGGCAAGTTACAAAGAGATTTCAGAATGCGAAGTTCAAAGATGATTTCTTCAAGCTCAGAGAACATGTCAAGGAATTTTGAAGAAAGACATGGGAGTGAAGAAACCCAGAAGGTAATCTAAAAAATCTCTTCAGCTGATGTTTTCGCTATTTTCGAACCACTGTTGCGTTTTTTTCTCTAAATATTTTGAAATATATCAATAATAATTTCCCATAGTCTATTTTGAGTTTATAATTTTATTTGTTTGTTGTAATTAGACATTCGTGAATTAAAAAGACAAGGAATGTCAAAACGCACATAAAAATTAAAAAAAAATGACGATCAAAAATAAAATAAATCAAGATGCGTTTAGGAGCTTGTCTAAAAATTAATTCACAAGTTTCTTTTGATTGTGTCTAGAAAACCATTTGTTAAACTCATCTTGGCTTTGTCAAATAAAATAGAGCAAAATGATTATTTTCTTCAAAGACTTAAAGCCAATGACTGAGTATAGGTTTTGGCATTATCAAAAGGGGGAAATTGTTAGGAATAAAGTGTAATGGTTTTGATATGCCAAATATGTATTTGTAGATCCCCCAATTTTATTTTATAGGTCTAGTAGAGTCTTTGACCATGATCGGGAAATTATTTAAGTTGCAAAAGAGAAAAACAGAGGAAGATGCATGAAAATAGAAAAAGAAGATATCAAGCCGAAAATCAAGAATTTGTCTGGAGAAAATGACAAATTGAAGAAGAAGATGAATGATATGAAAATCACATCAATGCTACTCAAAAAGATATCCTAGGAGAATTTTCGTGAAAGAAAATTAAGATTGGAAGATTCCATGAATTTGACTTGGAGATCAAGCATCTATGGAAAGAAAGGAGTACATCAAAGATGATTGGAAATTTAACTAATAAGTTATACGAACGAAGTGGAAGATGCCTGATTCATTATGCAAAATGGCTCAAGTTCAAATCTCACTATTAATAATTTTACAAGGTAAAATTTGAGAAGCCAAAATTAATTAATTGAAATTGGGAGCCAATTCAAGTTGTAGTATGGGATGCAATTTCAAATTGGGGACCGATTCAAAGAAAGGTAAAATTTGAGAAGCCAAAATTAATTAATTGAAATTGGGAGCCAATTCAAGTTGTAGTATGGGATGCAATTTCAAATTGGGGACCGATTCAAAGAAGACATTGAGCTCAAATTGAATGACCGATTCAAAGAAGACATTGAGCGGAGAAGTCTGGGAGCCAATTTCGAAGTCAAATAATAACTCAAAGGAGTAGATAATTCAAATACAAAGGAGTAATTGAAATTGGGAGCCAATTCAAGTTGTAGTATGGGATGCAATTTCAAATTGGGGACCGATTCAAAGAAGACATTGAGCTCAAATTGAATTGAGATGAAATTCAATACCAGGAGAAGTCTGGGAGCCAATTTTGAAGTCAAATAATAATTCAAAGGAGTAGATAATTCAAATACAAAGGAGAAATTCAAATTGGGAAGAAGTTAAAAGCCAAAGTCAAATAATAATTCAAAGGAGTAGATAATTCAAATACAAAGGAGAAATTCAAATTGGGAAGAAGTTCAAAGCCAAAGTCAAATAATTCAAAGGAGTAGATTGGGAGCCAATTACAATGGAGAAATTCAAATTGGGTGCCAATTACAAATTCAAATAATTCAAATTGGGAGGAAGTTCAAAGCCAAAGTCAAATAATTCAAAGGAGTAGATTGGGAGCCAATTACAATGGAGAAATTCAAATTGGGTGCCAATTACAAGTCAATTGCAATTGGGTGTCAATAACAAAGGAGAAATTCAAATTGGTGCAATTGGGTGTCAATAACAAAGGAGAAGTTCAAATTGGGAGGAACACTACAAGAAAAATGCACATAGACAACACTAGAAAGACAACAGTTTTTAAGAAAAGTGTTGTCTTTTGTATAAAAGACAACAGTTTGGTCCAAAACCGTTGTCTTTGATGCAACCCTTTTTTCAAAGACAACGGTTTTTACTTAACCGTTGTTATAAGTGTGTTGTCTTTGTGCATTTTGTGAAAAGACAACACCACAACGACAACGGTTTTTTAAAACTGTTGTCTATGTGCGTTTTTTTTTTTTTTTTAAAAAGACAACGGTTTTTTTAACCGTTGTCATTGGTGTGTTGTCTTTAAGCGCATTAGAATACACAACAGTAGAAAGACAACGGTTATTTAAAACCGTTGTCTTTGTGCGCTCTTTTTTTAAAAAAGACAACGGTTTTATTTAACCGTTGTCATTGGTGTGTTGTCTTTAAGCGCACTAGAATACACAACACTACAAAGACAACGGTTTTTTAAAACCGTTGTCTTTGCGCATTATTATTTTTTAAAAGACAACGGTTTTATTTAACCGTTGTCATTTATGTGTTGTCTTTAATAGCACTTGAATACACAACACTACAACGACAATGGTTTTATATAACCGTTGTCGTTGCACGTTCTTTATTTGTTTAAGACAACGGTTTTATTTAACCGTTGTCTTTGATATGTTGTCTTTAAGCGTATTTGAATACACAACATTACAAAGACAACGGTTATAAAAACCGTTGTCTTTGCGCATCGTTATTTAACAGTTGTATAAATTAAAATAAAAACAAGGATGTTAATAACAAGAGTCGAACCTTTGACCTCAAAATTAACAAATAAGGTCTAACCAACTAAGTAACACAAACTCTTATGATTAAATGTGCAACATTTGGTATATAACTGGGTTGCTTCTGTGTTGTTTGTGAAAACCAAAACAACAATTTTAGAAAATAGTTGAAGGATCCCCTAGGAAGAAAAGAACTCAAGACCTCTAACATAATAAACTAAACTAAACCCACCAAGCCACACCAACACTTATATACTCAAGTGCAACATCTATGATATAACCAAATTGCTTATGTGTTGTCTTTAAGAACCAAGACAATGATTGTATAAAATAGATTAAGGATGCCACCACAAAGGATAAAACCCAAGACCTTTAACATAACAAACAAAATTAAATCCACCAAACCACACTAACTCTTATATACTAAATTGTTACACCTTATGTTTTAGCTATTATATCCTGAGTGTTAACAAGAATAAAAATGTAATTAAAATTTTTTGTCCAAATATATTGCATAAAAATTTAACAAAGAAAGAATATAATTCAAAAGTTAATTTAATAATTATATTTTCGTTCATATTTAAATATAAAATTATTCACCAAAATTTCAAAGTCAATTCATTAAAGTTTTATTTTCAATTATATTACAATTAAGACCAATCTATGAATTCAAAAAAAAAAATAAAAAAAATATCAAGTATAAAAAACAATAGATTATATCTATAACATTTTTGATATTTGTTATAGACCTAACTTTTTTAGGCTCTTATTAGTATAGTAGATAGTAGGTATAAAAATATATATCTTCTTCTTCTTCATATATATATATATATATATATATATATATATATATATATATATATATATATATATATATATATATCTTCATTCTTTTTAACTTTTTTTTTTTGTTTCCCTCCCAAACAAAAAAAAAAAAAAGAAATTCACACGCCTACAATTAGCGGAAAAAATTCCCTCCCAAACAATTTCTCCCTAACACTCCATTGCAACTTTTCCATCTCCTTAGTCAGTGCTTTCTACCGAGAGTGTCCTCTCGTCGCCTCCAACCTCCGACGCCGTTGCTGCCGCCAACCTCTGCCGCCATCGCCGCCTCCCTCCTCTACAGCCGTGAATAAGTCAGTAAACTTGGTTTTGAAAAATTGAAGGTTAGCTTTTCTCTTGTAATGTAATAAGCTATGAAATTCATCCAAATATTATCCATTTTCGCCCTCTCCTTTCTGCGGCTCAGTCTTCCCTTAGCATCTCTCTTGATTCTTCTCTAATCTCACCCAAAAACCTTCTACTCTCATTTAAACAAAATCTCAGATCTTTAATTTCTTGCTCAGCCTTTAATCTCTGAGGATGGAGTCCCCAAAGCACGCGGTCACGTTCTAGGCGGAAGCAGCGCCATAAACGTCGGTTTCTATAGCAAAGCCGATGATGTTTCGGCCGGAGCTCAAGAGTGGACAATCAGCGGTGAGAGATTGTTTGCTGGAATGGATTCGGTCAGAGGTTTCTCTCTATTTTTATTTCTCAGTTCAAAGTTTCATGCTCAGATATATTGTTGTTGTGGGAGTCTACGCTCATATCTGCTGCTGTTGTGGGAGTACGCTCACATCTACTCCTTTTATTATATCTACAACGGAACTAGCGACGGAGGGATAGAGGAGGTGGCGGCGGAGTTGGAAATCGGCCGGTTTGTGCCCATATTTCTTCATCACTCCACCCTGCCACTCACAATCGACGAAGTAAGCTTAAAACTATCATCTTTTTTTGCTTTTGTTGCTCTTGTAAAATTTTTTAAAGTAACTTTTGGTGGATTTTGTGAATTTATGCATATTCTTTCAAATAAAATCATTTAGTGATTTTAGTTTTTTACCTCTGTAATTCGATGGTAAGGCTGGTTAAGCTAAGATTATGTGTTTGGGAACATGGTGAAAATGATGGATTATCCAGAATCTTGAACCAATCAGGATAGAGTTGGCCAAACACTTACAAAAATTTTAATAAATTAGTAAATTACACCCAGACGTGAGAATGAAGGAGATGAAGAAAAACAAGTCTGACACCCAGACGTGAGAATGAAGGAGATGAAGAAAAACAAGTCTGAGAACACCCAGACGTGAGAATGAAGAAGATGAAGAAAAACTACGTGAGAATGAAGAAGATGAAGAAAAACTTACAGTATGTAAAAATATTCTCACAAGGAAAAATACTAGTCTAACTAGTATGGGATTAAATTGAAGAATATTTTGAAGTATTTAAATTCCAAAGAAACAAGAACCACTTCAGAGCTGATCAGAGAAGCCAATCTACACAAAACTGAGACCCAGATATTCCCAAGAAACGTGAGAAAACCAGAGGAATATCATATGAAGTTTGGGAACTCATTTGCATGAAGTTGAAGCTCTACCAACGGCTAGCTTATCTTTTCTGACACTTTGCCAGAAGATAAGATAAGATCTTTGACAAAAGATACAAGATTTCAAAAATGAGATCGTCTTTTTCCAACGGGCAGATTCTCATTACCTGCTATAAAATGATGACGATATGAAGACTTGAAGATCACGAACTCAAGAGCAGAAAATACGAGCAAAGAGCTAAAAAGAGCAAAGAGCAAAAATCTCATTTGGTACAGAGCATACCAAGAGAAATCTTCAAGTGAGAAGTGAGAAAAGAAAAAGAACTCAGAGAGCTTCAAAGAAAAATATTCTGAGAGTTCTAAAACAGAGCTAAACAGAGCATAAAAATCAAGTGCTTTACTTGATACATTCAAAGAGAGAAAACATTCAGAGCGTTCAAGAGAAATCTTTCAAAGAGTGTTTTATCAATTGCAGCATGTGTTCCATCTCAACTAAAAGCCTATGCTGATAGTTGGATTGCACAGTAATGGCTATATGCTCACACGCCCCGTCACGTGTGCGGTGGGTTCCAAGCAACACGTGGACCGGTAAACCGTAGTCTCTTACGAGTGGCGCTGAAATTCGAACCCATAACCTTTGGTCTGGCTCTGATACCAAATTGAAGCATGTGTTCCATCTCAACTAAAAGCCTAAGCTGATAGTTGGATTGCACAGTAATGGCTATATGCTCACATTATCTTCATCAAAGAGACTAAGCGCATCATTGAAGATCAACTACAGAGTCTCGAAGTTGGAAGCAAGAAAAAACTTGTTTTGGAGCAAAACAAGAAAATGGAGGAAAGTAGCACGGAGCTGTGAGATCCGAAGCAGCAGTGTCGGAGGCATTAGGCGTGATTAGTGCGGGCTTTGTGATCAAAGCACTAGATCACGGGATACGTTTCTACCGGAGTGTGGAAGACGGGGGGAAAGTAACGCGGAGTCGTGAAATCCTGGGATAGTAGCGCGGCGACGTGAAACCCGAAACAGCAGTGTGGTGCCACTGGGCGTGATTAGTGCGGGCTTGGTGATCAAAGCACTAGATCACGGAAATTCATTGTATCTTGGAACCAAGAAGTGGTGGATATAGTGAATTGCTCTTGGAGATAAGAGCAAGTGGAGTAGGAGGATTACACCACCTCCGAACCACTATAATTGTCTTGTGTTCTTTACTGCTTTCTTTACTTACTGCTCTTTACTTGCTCTACATGAGATATATCTATCACAATCTCACACACACTTTAACTTTATTTAATTCCGCTGTGCACCATACTCTAACAATCTAGTTAAGAGTTTTGGTTTATCTCTGGCTTAGCAATTATTGTGCTGTCCCCCCTCCCCCCCCCCCCCCCCCCTCTCGACTTTCACCTTATTACCTCTTTTGGGACCAACAAGGAATAATTTTGGAGTTGTACTTCCTCATAAATTTCTTGAATTTCCTGACAAACAAAGCAAAATTTACGTCATTTAATAATTAATTATTTTCTACTGACCTTGACGTGGACAGTTGTTCGGTAACTAGTGCGTTGGTTCGTTCTTCTCGTTCTCCCTCTGTCCTTGACGTCATCTCAAATTCGTAGGCTTTGAGATCACTTAAGAGTTTCTCGGTTGATAGGGTTTTTAGATCCCTATGATCTCTCATGGCGGTGACTTTCATATCCCAACTTGATGGTAGACCGCGTAGGATTTTGAGCGATATTTCCTTTTAATTAATGTCTTTTCCAAGATCATTAATCTCTCCCAAGATTTTAGTAAATCTTGTTTCCATGTCGGTAATACTCTCGTCCCTTAGCATTTTGAAATCTTCAAATTTCTTTAATGCTATGGTGAGCTTATTATCCTTTTCCTGTTCATCTCCTTCACCAATCTGAATGAGTGTTTCCCAAACTTCTTTTGCTGATTGACACTTTCAAACTTTTGGGAATATTGAGTCATCGATAGCTTTGAAAAAAATATCCTTGGCAATATTGTCCAAGTTATTTCTTGTTCTATCTTTTCGACACCATTCCACCTTAGGCTTTGGAACGTATTGCGGAGTGTCACTTGTTTGTACGGACGCAGTGTTCACTTGCAAGATTTCAATAGGACCATCAGTGATTACTTCCCACATTTCATCGTGCAAAGCGGATAAATGTACATGCATGCGAATTCTCCATTCATCAAATTTGTCCAAGGAAAATAATAGATTTTGAGCAAAACCCATATCTCTCTTCATATTGAAGTTTTCGAGATATGTCTAGTAGTCAAAATTGACTCAAATAGACAACCGCTCTGATATCAATTGTTGGTCCTGATATGATGGTAAGAAGTCTAGAGGGGGGTGAATAGACTTTTTTAAACTTTTTCAGAATAAATAACACTTTGGTAATTTCAACTCCAAGTAACAAGTAAATAACAAGATATTCAACTTGCATGCACAGCGGAATAATTTAACAATAATGTGTTACATAAAATCAGAGAGATATATCACATGCAATACGTTAGATATGCTTGAAATAACTCAAATGATATGTATGCAAATTTTTGCTCGCATGCGGAAGAGGTAGATGTTGGTCCCGATAGAAAGTCTAGAGGAGGGGGAGGGGGGGGGGGGGGGGAGTGAATAGACTTTCTAAACTTTTTCACAATAAATAAATCTTTTGTAATTTCAACTCCAAATAATAAATAAATAGACGAGTATTTAATTTGGAGTGCACAACGGAATAAATATGTGTAAAGAGTTATGCCCAATCAATAAATTGAATCACATGCACAACGTTAGATATGCTCAGATGATGTGTAAGAATAACTAGAATATCTTGAATATTTTAAAGGAGATGTTTCACTCAATATTTAACAATATTATTCAAGATTGTATATAAGACTTCGTACGAAATCAATCGTATGATAAATGTCACATGCAACACGTCAAACTTGCTTAGAATAATTTAAATGTTAAGCATGGAAAGTTTGAGTTACATGCACACGTGAAAACACACTAAACCCGAATGATTAAGATCAAGCAGTGAATAGTAAACGGGTTAGTCAAATACTAGATAAATAAATAAACCGAATTAAGTAAGTGCGGTATGTAAATGAGAGAGGCAATTTATAATGGTTCGGAAGTGGCGTAATCTTCCTAGTCCACTTTACTCCTTTTGTGTCGAGGAGTAATTCACTATTTTCCACACACAGTTACAATAGTGAATAAGTGCTATACAAGCACTTCTTCAGATGTCTTGCACACAGCTACACCTAACTCCGAGTGTCTCGCACACAGCTACACTCAACTCTAAGTACTTCGCACACAGCTATACTCAAACGCCAACTAAGTGTCTTGCATACAGCTATACTTAGCAACTACGAGTATTTTGCACACAGCTACACTCTCTTAGAGTATTTTGCACACAGCTATACTCTTTTTAGAATTACAAATACAAAGGTAATTGTATCTCTCTCCAACTAATTTTGAGACTATTCAGACTAAGACTCTCTTCTAGATATTTCAATGAATATTTAGCACTTGAATATTTTGAATTTGCACTTGTTCATCTGTGTCTTGTATCTTCAAGTCTTCATGGCTTTTTATAGATAATCAAATGTATCCGTTGGAGTGGGATAATTTGATATTTGAAATTTGAATTTCGTAGCCTGATATTGTTGACAATATTATGTTTTCAATTTGATTTGATTGTCAACTTTTCTAACAAGATAATATTTTTATTTCAACATGATTTTCAAGTTGTTTCTAAAATATTATTATCCTTGTCAATTTTTAATTTCCAACGTCTCTTGGCAATAAATCCTTCTGACATGATTTATTTCTAGGATAAGGTCTTTATCCATGTCTTCATAAATTTTCCACCGTTCTGATAATGTCTTCATGCAATTTGGATTCTTGAGACATGTGAGATGAACCAAAATAAATTCATTCGAATTTATTTAAATATTCTGATCATCCTTGCTTGTTTGTCACATTTTGCTCCTTAGAGATACATTGTGCTTATTTTGCACTTCTTGCTTGTCAAAATCAGGTCTTGCTTATAGTTGCATCATGCTCCTCTGATCTGGTCACATTGTGCTTGTATTAGACATTGTGCTCCTTTGACACATCGTGCTTGTTTGAAAATTGTGATCCTTGGACATATCGTGTTTTTCTGATTTGATCACATTGTGCTGATTCGGATACATCTTGCTTGTTTAGACATTGTGCTCCTTTGGACACATCGTGCTTGATCAGACCTTTGTTCTATTAACTTGGGCACTTCTTGCTTGTTTGACTTTGACACATTGTGTTTGTTTGACTTGATAGATCGTGCTTCTTTTTGATACATTGTGCTTCTTAGCCGCTTCTTGCTCCTTTTGAATTCTGGCTTATAAAAAATTAATCCTTGGGGGGTATTCAATCTTGGGTATGATCGTTGTATGTAAGGACTTCTACCATTTCGTCGTAAGGCTCATCCGATCATTCTCTATAACATCTTTGTTAAATGCTTGTCTACTGGATGAATACTCGTAGGACCAAAATTAATTCTCCAAATTAATTTTGTTCTTCATGTAGTAATCTTTCTTTTGCGTACTGACTTGACATACTGAATTATGATGCTTGTACTAAATACCTAAATTCTAAGGGGATCTAAACTACATTTGGCTCATCAAAACTTTATTACAAAAATATTCCTATCAATTTTCCCCCTTTTTGGTGACGCCAAAACCTATACTCAGTCATTTGGCTTGTTTTTTAAAACAATTGATTTTTCAAAAGATTTTATTAAAATTTGACATAGCCATGATGGGTTTAACAATTGATTTTGACTCTAGGAAAGATATTTTTAGCAAAAATTTCCTATTCGCATTTTTGGACTTTAACATTAGTGATTTTTGCAATTTTTCCAATTATGCGATTTATACAAGTTAAGCTATAAATTTACCTTTCAAGACGAATTAAAGATAACATTAGATAAAATACTATAAGCATCATAATCAGATAATTGAGCAAAATATTCATGGTCATACATTTAGAGTTTTGTAAGCCATATCAAAATATTTGTTCACCGATTACAAAATACTTGATTATCTTGTTCCTCTTTTCTTCTAACACATGATTGATATGTTTCTTAACCTCAATGAAATTGTCACTAATAGCATAATCTTTGCATACCTGCCCAATCACATAATAATTGAAAGCTTCAATGATGTTGTCTCCGGGCAGTGCATTTTCTTAATACCAGATTATGCATTCTTCTAGACTCTTATCTCCTTGTAATTCTAGACTCTTATCTCCTTTTAGAATGGCTTGTGTGGTTGTACTTTCTCTTATGAGGACGCTAGAGCTTGAGTGTAACACCCCGGTGTTACGGCCTTCAATCCCGGATTAATTATTTAATTAATTCCGTTAATAATAATTAAAAAGGATTTAATTTGGCTAGGATTCCATTTAATTAATTAATGTGGTCCACCATGGATCATGGACCCTTGCCTAAACTAGAGTCTTAAGCCTGTTAGGAATAAAAAGAGTAAACCTTTTACTAATCAGATTCTAATTAGGAGACCTAGACCTAATTATCTATTAGGAATGTAGAAAGTAGGCCTTTACTATTCAGATTATGATTAGGATTCCTGATGCTATAAATAGGGGATTAGAAAGCATTAGAACCCTTACCACCATAGTTATATTACACAAAAGTATTCCCAAAGGGTTCCCCCACCACCAAGCCTAGGGAGATCAATCGGATGGAAATTTTAGGGAAGAACCTTAATAGCCAAGGGAGGATTAATTAAGGCTAAGAGGTAACCCATGTCTCAACAAAACCTATTTTCCTTGCTATAATCTTCTTCTTTGGCTCCCTCTATATGCTTGTGTCTTGACGAATTCCTTTATGATAATCGTGATAAAATCTTGTTGATTGATGTGATGATTTTTATGTGTGATCTTGATGATCTTGATGTTAAAAAGAGGTTCTTGATATTCATGTGATGATTCTTGATAAGTCTTGATGGTTCTTGATGATAAAGATAAAATATGATTTTGATGATTTGGATGGGATTAGAGCCCTAGGTTGGATTGGGAATTTGTATTATGATGTTCTCAATATATATTTGGGAGGGAATTCACATGTTCGGGTGTTGTTTATGTTTAGAAGTCATAATAGGATGAGTTCTACGTGGTTCTTGCTTTTGATCCATTAATTGCCTACGTGGTGTCATTATTTGCGTTAAAAGTGTCTAAGCATGGTTTCGGGTTCCACGGAGGATCCCGGGACGTTTATTGTGATAAGGAGTCAGTGGGGGATAGGTGGGGGTAGGGGAACCCGCCACCTACCCGCTGCCCAAAGAAGTACTGTCGGCAGCGGGCAGCCGACGGGCAGGCGACTGCCCGCCGGGCACCCGCTACCCGGAGAGTTACCGCCGGCGGGTGGCCCTCCACCCACCGGCTACCCGCTGGTTTGTTGCCCACTTCGGGTCTTTGGCTTCCCCGTTTGATGTTCCCCAATCCCCGTGGTGTCCCAACGGACCCGTTTGTCGTGCATGAGTCTAGTTTGATGTTTCGGGTGCCATTTGTAGGGTAGAAGAGTCTTAGGAATTGCATGCTAGTTGAATCGGTAACCCGTTGGCCTAAGTGGAAGATGCATGAACCCCTTAGGTCTATTCTTAGTAAGTGAATGATCACACGTAAGTTTATTTATACGTCTCCCATTCCCAACGTGCTAATACGTGCTACTATGTGTTATGTGATGCATGATACCCCAATTTGGTTGCGATCAAATTGGGAGTTCCTGAGCTGCGGTTCAGAAGTTGGCTACTGTCAAATTGGTTACTTATGAGCTGCGGTTCATTTTCCTGGCTGCGGTCAGTGATTCACTTCTTGGGCTGCGGTCCACATGGGCCTCGTGTGCTATGGTCCACCGACTGGACGCGCCAGGCGGTGTGTAGGATCACTAGCCCGAGGACGGCCATAGCCCACCAAATGAGTGATCAGGCGGTGTGTAGAGCTACGGTCGGCTGCGATCCACCGAGTGTATTGGCCAGCGGTGTGTAGGGTCGTAGTCTCCGAAGATCATCGCCCACCGAATGAGTCCCTCAGGCGGTGTGTAGGGCCTGATCTACTACGACCCACCGACTGAGTTCGTCAAGCGGTGTGTAGGGTCGCAGTCCCCCTTAAAGAGGATCACAGTCCACCGACTGAGCGCGTCAGCGGTGTGTAGGGCTGTGATCCGCCGTTGAGTTCGTCGATGGTCTATACGGTTGGTTGCGATCAACCCCTTCATGCTGCGGTATGAGGTAGGGTGCTGTGGGGCCGTTTTAGTACTATATGTACTAACCCTCATGTTCGGGACATGCGATTGGTCCCGTGGCGCCACCAAAGTATGCTTGTGTGATTTGAATGATGATTGAATGATAATGTGAATGATTCGAAAGTGAACGGTGACCTAAGAAGAAGAAGAAGTGATGATGATGATGATGATGATGATAAAGACGAAAATAGAATTTTTGCAGGAATTATTGTTATTTTTGACAGATTTATGGATCAGACATTTCAGCCACTGGAATATCACATTTATGTGAAAAAGCAACAGGGTGAGAAAAGCACTCATCCATGCCAAAGGCTTCATCAAATTTTGCATCCACTAAGGGGAAAATCACATCCTTGTCTCAAATTCCGTCATATTTTGCACCCAGCTCTACAACACATTGATGCCATCACTCAAGAGTTGGCAAAAGCGAAGGAGGAGTACCAGACATCATCTACAAGCAAGAGCAAAGCAGCCTACCTCCCTTCATGTTTTACCAATACCAACAGATCAAGTTATAATCATGCCTGATTCTTCCCACCATGCTTCACGCTCCAAAGAAATAATGGTAGGAAAACAGGATGAGTTCCAGATTATAAAGGAAATGTGAATCCAACATCCATCTATGCAGCGAGAAGTTGTCTCAATTAAAGGTATGGGAGGTATTGGTAAGACAACATTAGTAAAGAAATTTATGAAGATCCATTAATCACTTCCTACTTTGATATGCGAGCAAGGACTGTCGCATCACAACATCATATTAAGAGGCAAATGCTCTTAGATCTTCTTGGTTCCAAAGACAATGCAGATAGTGATGAGGACCTAGCATTACAACTCTACAAAAGTTTCAAGCGTCAAAGGTACTTTGTTGTGATGGATGATGTATGGAGTGTAGAGGCATGGGATGCTCTCAAAACATGCTTTCCCGATGATGGATATGGTAGTCGAGTATTGTTGACTACTCGCCTTGCTGAGGTGGCTAATCATATCTGCACCCAAAATGACTTTTCTCATCAAATGCAATTGTTAGAACAAAGTGAGAGTTCAAAACTATTTGATGAAAAGGCCTATAAATCTCGCGGTGCTGAATTTGAAACGATTGGAAGAACAGTAGTTGAAAATTGCAAAGGACTGCCTTTGGCAATTATTGTGGTTTCAGGCCTTTTTTCTAGGGATGGCAATTCTACCCGCACCCAACGGGTTACCCGCTTCCCATTTTATTATATTGAGCCTTGGTACACACAATTCCAAATCAAATATATGTATGTACACGTATAACAATAAATCAATAATCCTAATATCTCTACATGTTTTTATTTTTATATTTTAAGTATCCGTTAATAATTAATATATATATATATATATATATATATATATATATATATATATATATATATATATATATATATGAGTAATTTTGACTTTTTTATCCCAGTGCACAATTAATATTTTTCGTTACCGCGCTGATGTGCGAATTTTACTCCCTCCATGCGTCCAATCTCAACCGTAAATCTTCAATATTGTAAGGTTGACAATAATCCACAGTCCTCATGTGGGATATTGTTCTCATATATATATATATATATATATATATATATATATATATATATATATATATATATATATATATATATATATATATATATATATTAATTATTAACGGATACTTAAAATATAAAAATAAAAACATGTAGAGATATTAGGATTATTGTTATACGTGTACATACATATATTTGATTTGGAATTGTGTGTACCAACGCTCAATATAATAAAATGGGTTAGGAAGATATCAGGTCAAACTTGTAGCTTAAAGAATATAATATAAATTAGGTAAAATAATTTATTTATTTAAAGTAGAAAATACTAATTTGTATTTATAGGTAGAAAATACTAATTCAAAATGAAAGAATAATAATTTATTTATTTAAGGTAATAACATTATTATTATTATTATTATTATTATTATTATTATTATTATTATTATTATTATTATTATTATTATTATTATTATTATTATTATTATTACAAAAATACCCCTAAGTTTTGGGGGGGAAACTTGACTAGGAGGATTTTACTTTTATATATATATATATATATATATATATATATATATATATATATATATATATATATATATATATAGATATATATAGATATATATACTAATATATGGAAGGATCAAAGGTACTTAATTGTGATACGAGGGAGTCTCATACGTAACAATGACTCACTAAGATTCTTTCTATAGATTAAATAATAATAATATACAAACTCTGATCTATAAGTCTATATCTACCCTAGCCTAACACATAAATTTACACATACGGTATGTAATAATAGGTAGTTAATTGTGATTGATGATGTGTATGTGGAGCATAGAGGCATGGGATGCAATCAAAACATGCTTTCGAAATGATTATTCATTTTGGTAGTCGAGTATTAGTGACTACTCGCAATACACAGGTGGCTTGTTATGTTAGTTTCAACCATGACTTCATTCATCAAATGCACCCATTAAATGAAAGCGAGAGTTGGGATCTATTTTGTCAGAAGGTGGGCACATCACGTCGTGCTAACTTTGAGACTATTGCGAGACCAATTGTTGAGAAGTGCAAAGGACTACCTCTGGCAGTTGTTATTGTAGCAAGTGTAGTTTCCAATTTCAACATTGACCCAGGTGAGTGGGAGAATATTGCTATGAACAATATTGCAGAAGCATGGTCAAGAATATTCTCATTGGATTACAATCACTTGCCATAAACTTGAAAGCTTGTTTTTTATAGAGTAAATACCCAAAATGGTCCATCGACTATAGCTAAATTCACAAATTGGTCCTCGACTTTCAATTTCAACTAATTAAGTCCTTAACTTTGTAATTTTAACACAATTTGGTCCTCTGTCTATTTGACCGTTTGTTGACTGTGATTTTTGAGGATATATATGTAATTTCATGGTCCATCGTCGGGTTTTTAAGGTTCTGGTTGCATTTCTAGACCGCACTGTTACATTTGAATCCACTGCCGAAAGCAATCTACCAAATCCGGTCGCCTTTCTTCATCCTCCCTTTGGATTCAATGTAGTTGAGTACGTACCAGAGCGAAGAAAACGACGTGTTTCCGAACCAGTGCAACATCATCCTGGAGGCCTCCACGTGCTCCGACGAGAGCTGAAGGTTCTTCTGGAGATCGTCAATCACAATCAACAAACGGTCAAATAGATGGAGGACCAAATCGTGTCAAAATTACAAAGTTAAGGACTTAATTGGTTGAAATTGAAAGTCGAGGACCAATTTGTAAATTTAGCTATAATCGAGAGACCATTTTGGGTATTTGCTCTTTTTTATATTTGAGAGTTTTTCCAGGAGATAAAATTGTTTGAATGTTGCATCAGTAGCTTCAGTTTTTTTTCAGTTTATTCCCATGTTTAGTTTGCTTTTATTTACCAAGTCTTTAGGAGTTTAATTGTCAGTTACTTGTTAGTGCCTTAGTGGCTTGATGTTAGCTAGTTAGTGGGTTAGTGGCTATCTTTTGTTTGTTAGTTTTTTTCTGTGTATTTAAGCAGTGTTTCACCAGTTAATAAATGCATCCTTTTCTCTAAAATAACCAACAAATTGGTATCAGAGCTTCTTTTCTTAAGGGATCTGTGAGTGAACCAAGGGAAACCCACCATAAAAACCTTACCTTCCTTTATTCAATCCATAAAATGGATTCTGAAACTCCTTTTACAGCACTAGCACCACCAGTGTTTAAGGGAGAAAATTATCAAATATGGGCAGCTAGAATGGAAGCCCACCTAGAGGCAAATGATCTCTGGGATGCTGTTAAAGAGGACTATGAAGTTCCTCCCTTAACAGATAATCCAACCATGGCTCAGCTGAAGAGTCATAATTTAAGGAAATCAAGGAAGTCGAAGGCAAAAGCTACCTTGTTCGCAGCTGTCTCCGAAGAGGTCTTTACAAGAATCATGAATCAGAAATCAGCATTTGATATTTGGAATTTCCTCAAAACTGAATATGCAGGAGATGAAAAGCTTAAAGGAATGCAAAAGTTGAATCTGATTCGTGAGTTCGAGATGCAGCAAATGAAGGAGTCAGAGACAATCAAGGAGTACACAGATAAGCTTCTTAGTATTGCGAACAAAATTAGGTTGCTTGGTTCAGAATTTTCTGATTCTAAGATTGTTCAGAAAATACTTGTAACTGTTCCTGAAAGATTTGATGCTATTATATCCTCCATGGAGAGTAGCAAAGATCTTTCAACAATCACTTTGGCAGAACTAAACAGTGCTTTACAGGCTCAAGAACAAAGGAGACTGATGAGAAGTGAAGGTTCTGTCGAAGGTGCACTGCAGGCTAAGTTACAAATCAATCAAGGAGAGAAAGACAAGAAGAAGAGTTCTAAGAAAAACCCACGTGATGCAACCAACAGCAGCAGAGGAGAAAAGAAGAGAGATTTTCCTCCTTGCAAGCATTGCGGCAAAAAGGGTCATCCTCCTTTCAAGTGTTGGAGAAGACCTTATGTGAAGTGTGGGAAGTGCAGTAAACTTGGGCACCATGAAAGAATATGCAAAAGTAATTCCCAATAGAAGGACGATGCCCAAGTAGTAAGCGAGCAAGAGGAAGAGCAAATGTTTGTAGCATCTTGTTTTACAAGCAGAAGCTCAAGCTCAAGTTATTGTTGGCTCCTAGACAGTGGTTGTACCAATCACATGACCGGTGATGAAGAAATCTTTAGAGAGTTGGACAAGTCCCAAGTATCCAACGTCAGAATTGGTAATGGTGACTGCATTCCTGTGAAGGGAAAGGGAACTGTTGCCATAGAGAGTTGCACAGGTACTAAATTAATTTCTGATGTTTTGTATGTCCCTGACATTGATCAGAATTTACTTAGCGTTGGGCAGCTAGTTGAGAAGGGATTCAAAGTCATCTTTGAAAACAAGTTGGGTATAATCAATGATACTTATGACAATGAAGTCATAAGAATTAAAATGAGAGGCAAAAGTTTCTTACTTGATCCGATGGAGGAGGAGCAAGCAGCTTATACAGTTACTTCGACCAACACACAGACTTGGCATAAGAGGCTAGGTCATTTTCATCATGCAGCAATTTTGAATATGCAAAAAAGGAAGTTGGTTCATGGCTTACCTCACATTGAGTCGGATCTACCAAGTTGCAAGGCTTGTCAATTTGGAAAACAAGCCAGACTTCCTTTCAAAAAAGGAGCCTGGAGAGCTACGGAGAAGCTGCAACTTATCCATACAGATGTTGCTGGACCTTATAGAACTCTTTCACTCAATGGAAGCAAATACTACGTTGCTTTCATTGATGATTTTACAAGGATGTGTTGGATCTATTTTCTCAGGTTCAAGTCAGAAGTTGCAGGTGTATTCTTCAAATTCAAGAACTGGATCGAGAACCAAAGTGGCTGTAAAATTCAGACTTTGAGGTCAGATAATGGCAAGGAGTACACCTCAAGTGAATTTGATAAATTCTGTGAGGAAGCTGGAATTGAGCATAAACTTACAGCCCCATACTCTCCACAGCAAAATGGGGTCAGCGAGCGAAAGAATAGAACTATAATGGAGATGGCCAGGTGTATGCTCCATGAGAAGGATCTTCCGAAAGAATATTGGGCTGAGGCAGCAAATACTGCTGTATTTCTGCTGAACAGGCTACCTACAAAAGCAGTCAACGGCAAGACTCCTTTTGAGGTGTGGTATGGTTATAAACCACAAGTAAAAAATATGAAAGTCTTCGGTTGTTTATGTTTTACTCATGTGCCACAAATTAAGCGTGACAAATTAGACAAAAGAGCTGAGCCCGGCATATTTGTTGGATATAGCTTAAATTCTAATGCTTATAGAGTTTTTCAACCTGACACAAGAAGAATTCTAATAAGCAGGGATGTAAGCTTCATGGAAAATGATAAATGGAGTTGGAACATTGCAGAAATTCAGCAGCCAAATGGTCTGAATTACGACGAGTTAATTGACGATCCTCCTGTTCGAGGCACTAGATTACTTGCTGATATCTACCAGAGATGCAACGTTGCTGTGCTTGAACCAGCAGGATATCAAGAGGCAGAGAAAGATCCCAATTGGAGGGCAGCAATGCAGGAGGAGCTCGCTATGATTGAAAAAAATCAGACTTGGGAGTTAGTTGAAAGACCTCAACATCACAAAGTGATTGGAGTGAAATGGGTATTCAGAAAAAAAAGAGAATGCTAATGGGTCACTCAACAAATATAAAGCAAGGTTAGTGGTTAAAGGGTATGCTCAAGTTTTTGGAGTAGATTATTTTGATACTTTTGCTCCTGTTGCAAGGCTAGATACAATCAGAATGTTACTAGCTATTGTAGCACAAAAGCAATGGAAAATCTACCAACTCGATGTCAAGTCAGCCTTTTTAAATGGCTTTCTGGAGGAAGAAATTTATGTTGAGCAACCTGAAGGCTTTGCTGCAAAAGGGGATGAAGACAAGGTTTATTTGTTGAAAAAGGCGTTATATGGCTTGAAGCAGGCTCCAAGGGCCTGGTATAGCAGAATTGATGAATACCTGCTGAAACTAGGTTTTGTTAAAAGTCCTAGTGAGTCCACATTATATATCAAAGACGATGGAAATCATTTTCTGGTTGTTTCTTTATATGTTGATGATGTTTTAGTGACTGGCAACAACATTGAGCTTATTAAACAGTTCAAAGAAGATATGATGAGAGTCTTTGAGATGACTGATCTTGGAGAAATGTCATATTTTCTGGGAATGGAAATCAAGCAGAGACGAAATGAAATCTTCATTTGTCAACAGAAGTATGCAAAGGAGATTCTAAAGAAATTTAACATGGATGATTGTAAGAGTGTGAGCACTCCTATGTGTCCAAAAGAGAAGTTATGTAGAGATGATGGAACAACTAAGGTGAATGAGTCCATGTATAGAAGCTTGATTGGTTGCTTGATGTATCTTACGGCAACAAGACCGGATATCATGTATGCTGTAAGTGTTCTTTCAAGATTTATGAATTGTGCTAGTGAGTCTCATTTCAAGGTTGCAAAAAGAGTTTTCCGTTATGTTAAAGGAACTTTAAGCTTTGGTGTTAAGTTCTATCAGACACCAAATTTTGAATTGCAAGGTTATTCTGACAGTGATTGGGCAGGGTCCATAGATGACATGAAAAGCACTTCCGGTTTCTGTTTCAACTTTGGATCTGGAATTTTTACGTGGAGTTCAAAGAAGCAAGAAATTGTGGCTCAATCAACCGCTGAAGCTGAGTTCATCTCAGCAACAGCAGCTGTCAATCATGCCTTATGGCTAAGAAAAATTCTAAGTGATCTGCACTTAGAGCAAAAGGCAAGTACTGGAGTTATGGTTGATAATCAAGCAGCTATAGCTATCTCAAACAATCCAGTTTTTCATGGCAAGACTAAGCATTTCAGCATCAAGTTATTCTTCATCAGAGATGTTCAGAAAAGTGGTGCAATTCGGCTGAAGTATTGCAAGACTGAAGACCAGTTAGCAGACATATTTACAAAGCCTCTTGCAAAGGGCAGATTTGAAGACTTGAGAGAAAGACTTGGAATTTGCATCTACTGATGCAAGGAGGAGTGTTTGAATGTTGCATCAGTAGCTTCAGTTTTTTTCAGTTTATTCCCATGTTTAGTTTGCTTTTATTTACCAAGTCTTTAGGAGTTTAATTGTCAGTTACTTGTTAGTGCCTTAGTGGCTTGATGTTAGCTAGTTAGTGGGTTAGTGGCTATCTTTTGTTTGTTAGTTTTTTTCTGTGTATTTAAGCAATGTTTCACCAGTTAATAAATGCATCCTTTTCTCTAAAATAACCAACAAAAATAATCTATGTTAAAGATCTTGTAAGGTTATGGGCCAGTGAAGGACTACTTATAAAGAAGTTTGAGAAGCTGAGCCTTGATGAAGTGGGTGAAAGATGGGTACGAGAACTTTTGGATAGAAACCTGATTCTTGAAAGCAAGCAAAGTTATTATGGAACAAAAATTAAGTCCTTTAAGATGCATGGTTTACAGCATGCATTTGGTGTAAGACAAGCTCAAAAAGAGAATCTTCTACATGTGGTAGCCGGAAATGGTTTCAATTTCTGTCTAAACGGTTTCCGTTGGCTGAGCATCCAATCAACAGATTTTGATGACGACACCCGTACATTATTACATTCTGCTTCTTCTATTACATCACGTCGGTCCATTTTCTGTTTTTCGGAGGCAAAATCTTTACATTTGAAAAGTTTCAATCTATTGAGAGTATTGTACTTTAGTGATGCTAGCATGTGCAAGAAGATTGTGGATCTCGTCCATTTGAGATACTTACCTCAGGTAGTTAGAGATTTTAGAATCATAAAACTATTAAAGGCTTGGAATCTTCAGACACTTGATGTTTATGGGGATGATGGAAGGAACAACTTGAAGAAGTTTGGACAGCAACAGGATTCTCAAAGTCGTCCTTCCAAACTGAAGTTGAAGCGAGCCTTGTGATTGCACAATAGATTTCTTTCTAAGAAGTCCGTACCTTGAGGAGGTGGTAATTACAGGTGAAAGAAGATGTTGCAATGAGTGCATTGACACCCTTGTCTATTTACCGCAGCTTAGGGGACTGTATATTAATGGCAATGTATGGGATTATAGGACTCCTCAAATGATTTCAATGAATAACCAAATTGGTCGGTTGAAAGGGCTTGTGGAGTTGTCATTTAAGTCTATGAATTTTGAGTGGAAGGGAATTAATGTTCTTAGCCAGTTGTCTAGATTAAAGGTGCTCAGGTTATTAATGTTTTCCAGCATAGGCAAGGAGTGGGAATTATCAAAGGAGGATGTATTTGGTTGCTTAATTTATTTAGAAATATTTTCAACTGATCTCAAGCATTGGAAAGCTAGTACTATTAATTTCTGGTGTCTTGAGCGTCTAACCCTTCACGATTGCTTTCGGTTGAGAAAGATCCCAGACAGCTTTGCAAATGCTTCAAGATTGAAGTCAATCGAATTAACACAATGCCTTCCTTCTGCGGTGAATTCAGCCAACCAAATGAGAAGGAAGGCAAGACTATGGAAACGAAGATATGGTTGTGATTGAGAAGGAAACAATACAGGTATGTAGGTCTCTCTCTCTCTATCCATTTCTCCTAGCTTCTCAATTGCTTTTTATTTCACTCTCAGCTCAGCTCCTTTAATTTTTATCTAAACATAACTTCATCATATAGTTTCATTATATATATCCTAATTTGTTTTCATTCATTCATGACAGCCTCGCTCTGATGAAGATGATGCATAGTTTTAATAGATGTAATATAATGTACCCTCTGATCTGTTAGTTTCTTAATCATGCATTGCAAGATGTATGTGCAATGCAATACTGAGTTCTATTTTCTATATATATATATATATATATATATATATATATATATATATATATATATATATATATATTCATACTTAGTTCACTTGTAATATTGTATGTTTAGTAGCTAGTTATTGGAAACTAATTTGAACACTTGTAAGACAATAATAGTATTCTATTGGAATTTGACAATTTGTTGTCGTGCCTGTCATTTGCTTCTATCTAGCTTGCTTATGTATTAAGTTTTGTTCTGTTTATTGGTCTGCAAATTGAGCAGTTTTCTTAGGAGTTGTTATGATTTGAGAGAGATCCCAATTGACTTTGCTGAAATTTCAACATTGAAGTCAATTGAATTTTCCAACTGTCTTCCTTCTGCTGTGAAATCAGCCATGAAAATTCAAGATGAGTAACGTGACTATGGAAATAACGATATAGTTGTTATTGAGGAACAAACATTTGATGTATGTCACCCTTTCTCTTTCTGAATTGAATTTTTCAACTTGTGCCATGCAGATTTAATTAAATTCAGTGACTCATGACAGGAATTGGAATCTGAGGAAGGCCTGAGAGAAGAAGAGGCAAAAGTGGATAGCTGTTAACACTATTTATGAGTCCACGAAAACCCAAACTCTAATAAATCAGTACGTCTCAAGTTAGCCTATAAAACAGTGAGTCTTGTTCAGTTATCCTTTTTTAATATAATGCTTCAACAGTAGAGTAGTTCATATTCTGCAAATCCATAGTTATTCTATATATTCCTAATAAATGGGTGACTACTTGAATTCAGGTAATGTTGGATGGGGAGCTTTGTATGTATGTGTTCTCAGGCTCCAAGGCAAAAAGCAAATCCGGGATGAGCATATAGAAGGTAGGCACAGCACATTTAAACTGCCACAGTTTAGACAATTCAATTCTGTGACTCCGGATGTTGGATGGGGAGCTTTGAATGTCTGTCTGACCATATTGACATTGATTTGGAGCGAGTGAGGATTACATCTTCCAACAGTACGTAGTTAGATGAAGTGTATATATATAATATTGCTTAGATGTGCAAAATATGTGTTTTTTTTTTTTTCCATATATTTCTACGAACAAAATTTGATTAAGGTTTATTTAACTATATAATGAAAATCTATTGATTTTGGTATAGAAAATTGAAGAAGTCTCCTTTTATTGAATTGCCAGGAAACAACAAATTTACTTTCTCTCTATCATTAGTCTGCCAGAAAATACTCTGCTTAGATTTGCAAAATATGTTTTTTGATGCATATGCAGATATGTTGTTGGAGTTGATGATGAGTGTTAACAAGCTAGCTAGCTAAGAAGAAAGCATATATATATATATATATATATATATATATATATATATATATATATATATATATATATATATATATATATATATATATATATTCTCATGCCATGCATGCGTTGGTTAGTTCTTGAATGATGAGGGATGTGCAATGCAATAATACTTCAATCTTCTATCTATATTCATACTTAGTTTACTTCTTATATTGTAATTTTAGTATTCATCAGAAACTTTGAAGACTTCTTAGATAGTATTCTATTAAAAATGAAGACAACAGCAGTGATGAGGAGGACCTAGCGTTACGACTCTACCAAAGTTTCGAGCGTCAAAGGTATGTAAATCTCATGATGCTGAATTTGAAATGATTGGGAGACCGATAGTTGAAAAATATAATGCAAAGGACTGCCTTTGGCAATTCTTGTGGTTGCAGGCCTTTTAATTTTTCCAAACTCAACACTCTAGATGAGTGGAAGAATACTGTCAATGTTCTAAGTTCTTCTTCTGCAACTACTCTAGATGATGAAGAATGGTCGAGAATACTCTCGTTGAGTTACAATCATTTGCCCCACAACTTGAAAGCTTGTTTATTATATTTGGGAGTTTTTTTTCCAGAAGATCATGAGATCTATGCTAAAGAACTTGCAAGGTTATGGCATGCAGAAGGACTCGTAAGGGCATTTAAGAATGAAAACTTTGATGCACTGGCAAACAGGTACATTCAAGAACTTATGGATAGAAATCTGATAATTTTAAACCAAAAAAGCTGTTGTGGAAGAAACATTAATAGCTTTAGGATGCATGATTTATTGCATGCTTTTTGTGTGAGAGAAGCTCAAAATGAGAACCTTTTGCATGTTGTCAAGAGTGAAAATAATTCTAATTTTCCTCAAAAAGGTTTTCGTTGGGTAAACATCCAATCTGCTACAATACAACATTTTACTTGGAAAAACTAGAGATCCTACATCAGTTTTTTGAGGGGGAAATCATTTTCAATTTTTAGTAATAACAATCTACTGAGAGTACTCTTCTGCTATGATAGACTTGTCAACCACAAAATTATTGTGGATTTGGTCCATTTGAGATTCCTAAGAGTTGGAAATGATATAGAACTGTCCAGGGCTCATGGATTCCTAAAGTCAAGATGTAGAGAGAGTATAGAATTGTCAAGTTCTTGGAATATTCAAACACTTGATGGTTATGGAGTTGTATCATATAGATTAGATGAAGGAAGGAAGTATTTGGAGTTTCCACAACTACACTATATTCGTTGCAATAAGTATTTTTGTGGAAATCCTCCCAATTTTGTTCATAAAGTTGATTGGATAAGAATTGAAGATTGCTCAGAAGAATACGTTACAAATATTCCATGCTTGAAGAAGGTACATATTATTGAATGTGAAGGCAAAAAGAGTAATGCCAGCTACATTGCGAACTTAGCCTATTTAGAGCAGCTCGAGAGACTTCGGATTTCAGGTATGGGTGAAACACATATTCCAATTATTAGTGATATTGTTCTCTTGAAAAACCTAAGGAAGTTGGCATTAGATGGTATGTGTTTTGAGTGGGAGGAAATTAATATTCTTAGCACGTTGGCTAGGCTAGAGGTGCTGAAGTTACATTGGAGGTCATGCGTAGGCAAAGAATGGGAAATACAAGAGGAAGTGCTATTTTGCCGGTTAATTGCTTTAGTCATCATTGATTGTGATCTCAAGCATTGGAAAGCTAGTAGTCATAATTTCCCAAAACTTGAGCACCTATTTCTTTGGCAGTGCCATAGATTGAGAGAAATCCCAATTGACTTTGCTGAAATTTCAACATTGAAGTCAATCAAAGTACGGTTTTGTCTTCCTTCTGTTGTGAAATCAGCCAAGAAAATTCAGGAAGAGCGACGTGACTATGGAAACTATAATATGGTTGTTATTGAGCAAGATAAAAGGTATGTCTCCTTTTCTCGATCTTTCTCACTTGCATGTTTTCAACTTAATTGTGCCAAGCAAAATTTGAGTTCAATTACTCATGATAGGGGTTCGAAGGAAAACTTGAGCGAAGAAGAGTCTTCAGAAGTGAATGAGTGATGCCAATATATTTTTGGGTCCACAAATACTTTGTTGATGGCCAGCGTGATTAGGCTAATTCGATCTGCATCTATCTGGCTGGGGTTGGTGTGGTTGATGAATGCAAGTCGTTGAAATTCCTGGAGTTGAAGGCTGAAACGAACTACAACACTGTTCAAGATTATATTGAGAGAGCTGATGAGGCAATGCAAGCCAGGCTGTAGTACAGTGGTTGAAAGACTTGGGAGGCATGAAGAGACTCGATCATGTCCAATTCGCTAACAGCATACCTGCAAACGAATGTGGCTATGCAGTTTTTGACTATGATTTCACCACTGAGGACAAAAAAGCAAGTTCTTCGCTTCTTTGTTAATGTCATTTTTACAGGTAGGGGCAGTTTGAAATATTAATTATCTCTGATCTGATTTCTCAGGCTAGCTCCTACTTAATTGCTGAGTAATAGCAGCGGTCCTCTGTTGGATATTGAAAGTTACTTTTAGTGGTGATGTTTTAGAGAGTGTCGTCCTCTAGGAATGGCTATAAGGGAATTGAGTAGAGAGGGGTTAAACACAAGATTATTAAGTATTTGAAAGCTAACCAAAATGGAGTATTCGTTTGCATAGAAACAATTTTAAAACAACTAAATGATTAAGTAGTGGACAAGGATAAAAGAGAGGACTTAGATTAAATAGCAATGTACAAATGCTTCTTAGTGTTTTAAATTTTAAGGCAAACAAAGATCAATAATGAAAGTGAAGGCGTTTAGCAAGTGCCAATGCCATTCTCATGATCATTGGGCTATCACCTAAGTTCTAATTCCATTCTCATGGCAAATAGACTAGATGATGCAATTAATCAAATACCTTGTGTGCTCTATCCCTTCCAACTCCCCTTTCTCAAGAGTGAGTTAGAATTGTGATAGGTTTGGCTATGGTGAATCCCTATTCTCATAGGTGAAGCACCAAATCCAAAATCCCTTTACAAAGTTGGGCCCTAACCAAGCAAGAGTCAAAACATTTTACCAACTTCACAATCAAATTCAATCTAAAGATATTGCAAGCCCTATGTTTTCCAATTTAATTCATGTTGACATTCATACAAAGCAATTCAATCTAAATCCCTAACTAGTTTAACTACTCATAATGAAATTGATAAACTAAAAGCAATTAAAGTAATGAACAATAAATTCAAACTACAAATTATGTGAAATGCATGTAAAAGTAAGAAATTGAGAACTTAACTTGATAGAACTTGTAGAATGTAAATCTAAAACAGAAAGTGAAAGCTACAATTACATACGTTAATCTCCCTCTAAATCTTCTCCAAAAGATAATGGAATACAATTGATTTTTTGTTCTAAAGGATTTGGATGGAGAGAAGGTGTAGAGGGAGATTGGAAATTGAAAAAAATAGATGAAAATAATGCCTAAAGATACTTTATACTTTTGGAATCGCGTCAGTTTAACTGCTTAGGTCACGGTGTGACCTTCATCGTGACTAGGCCTAAGCCTCGCAGGTCTCTGCTGGTCACGGTCAACGTCACACCGTGACCGCCACCGTGACCAGTATCTCTACACAGTATCTCTGGTTTCTAGACCCTTTTTCACATTGTAAACGTCCGAACTAGCATTTGTGGTTTTCATTAAAGTTGTAGCTCTCTGAGTTTCCTTTCTAATTCCACTTGAATCATGTTGTTTGGACACTCCTAGCTCGAGACATGCTCAAATTACCGAGACTTCGCCTGACAGAAAAAAAAAAAGTACAAAGCATAATGGTGTCACGCTGGCAATCACGGCGTGACCACCAGCGTGACCCATGTTTTTCACTTCAAAAACGCATATTTCTTCATCTCCTTTGTTCCTTTGGGTCCTCGGGTCATGTCATGATACTTCAACTCGCTTTATTTCATTTTCTTGACCTCTAATGACTCCCGGAACTTGCCTTTCTGTCAAGATGACTTCAAAACAGAACCAATTGAGCTCCAATTTACATGAAGTTACAACCAATGCCTCCAAATAACCTAAATGACACAAAGGAATCAAATAGGCACATACTTAGGTTCCAATTAACATGAAATCATATGAGTTTGATATCAATTATGCACATAAAAGTACTAAGAATTTGCACTTATCAAATCTCCCCACACTTAGACCTTGCTTGCCCTCAAGCAAGACAAAACCAAGTTAAGCAGATTGAATTACCAGGCATCATAAAAAACAATCACACAATTCCAAAGATCAAGTAAATGAGCTATGCACAAGAAATCATAAATATGTTGTTTCTCTTCGTACTTTGCAACAGTGGTGAAGTGAATGTGATACTCTCAATTGGATCAAAATATAAGGACCCAGAACCCCAAGTTCACTCATTGTTTTACATGGAATTTCTCTTAAGCACACATATTCACAAGCACAGAAATGATTCGATCCTCAACTTCCACAGGCCTAAAAAGTCGAGCCCATTAATGGGAACGATGCACACGGGCTCTCCAACTTTGCCTCATTTGGCCCCAAAGACCCATTTAGTCAGTGTGATGGTGTGACACAAGCCGCTCCACGCGTTTTGGCTTAGCGTGAGTTTCTCTCTTCTTTCTAATCACCTCTAGGAGACCTCGTCAAGTCAACCGCCTTCACATAGAGCTCTACGCTTTTTTGAAGTCTGTGCAATGGTTACCTGAATCCTACGAGATGGCTCACCTCATGTTTTTCCCTCTCATGCAAGGATAGCTTAAAGTCTTTTTTATCTTTTTCCATTGACTTTTTCTTATTTTTTTCAACCCCTCTTGCCTTTTTCATTGGGAGTAGGGAATGACACAACTCACTAGAATAAAAATCTCTCCTTTTGCCTTGTGCCACATCGAGAAAGTTCATTCCAGGTCATACCACCTTACATTTCAAAAAACTATCTCGTATACACTCCCATTTCGAGAGATCATTGACCTAGGTCCATGGAAGTGGGGGATTGAACCTCAAACAAGCATGCAAAACTAATATAAATCCTAGTTGGGTCCTATGCAAATCTCACACGGTGTAAGGGCCGATTTCCAAACATTTTCAACCAATTGAACCTATAACACCCCTTTCATCACAATTGCAAAGTAAAATGAACAAAAACATACTCACACTTTCAAATGCATATCCTATCTACCTCATCTTCACAAAAGCATGATCCCGAAGGGGATGACATGGTATATACAAGCTGCCCCTAACCTCCCCACACTTAGAACTTGTGTGCCCTCAAGCAAGACACAAAGCAAGCATACATACATCATGGGGAAAAGCGCAATGGGAGAAAGGAAATGCAAAACAAACAACCTGAAAACGGGAAAAGGCATATCGAAAGAAGAACGAGAAAGAAAAGATAGAAGGAACTCCCTTAAAAAGAGATGGGAACACAACCCCATCCCCCAATTCAAAGCAAAGAGCTGAGCCACAATTCCATCAACCACGATTCATGAGCACAATGGAGCTGTGCTGAACAACCACAATACACAAAAACACAACAATCAGCATAGCAAACGGAAATAAGAACCGTGTGTAGGTTAAAGCTAAAATGCAATAATAACCATGTCAGGCGAATACCATAAGTACAAAAGTCCTAAGGAAATAGACAACGAAAAGTAGCTAAAATAAAAGTACCGATACTAGATGAAAATAAGAACAATACGGAAAGAGGGAAAACAACCAAAAGGGTGCACAACACCCAACATAGCATAACCCCCACAACGAAGAGTCGCAAACCAACACCGCGTCAACAATCAAACCAAACGCTACACATCCCCCGGTGGGTCCTGCGGAGGGAATCCGATGCCAGAAAGGTGGGGGTTCTGTGCATAAAACGTGTGCCACTGTGCGTCCACCCGCTGCGTCAGATTAGCCTCCATAGTGCCCACCCGCTGCATCATATTCAGCTCTAAAGTGTTAAGCCGAGCAAACATGTCCTGACGTAACTGATCCAAAGTACCACTCGGAGCGTCCGGGGCGGAACAGGCGCCGCGCGACGTGCCCGGCCCGTAGGGTTCCATAAGGGCGGCGGTGTCGGTGGCCTATCATCAAGATCATCATCCGAAGGGTTACGGACACGAGAAAAACCAATGGACTCCAACCTCTTCCCATTAAAGGACTCTATCGTGGCTAACGACCGCTCATCATCCAGCTGTGAGCCGAGGCCCAAACCCCTCAACAAACAAGATAGGAAAGGCCCAATAAAGATGGACAAAGTCCGAAAAGAGGCATGCGCCTGAAGCATCCTGGCCATAACCATCTCCATATGAATCGGAACGCCCTTGACTATGCTGTACAATCACAACACGTCCAAATGATTGACCACGGTGGGGGACCCCAACCTACCGGTAACCGTGCGGGCCAACATGTGATGGAGCACCTTATATTCAGGCCGTGCTAGAGCGGTAGCCTTGGACTTGCTACCCGCATAGGGCTCCAGACCATGGGTGAGCTCAGTCCAAAACTCGCAAACAGGGATGGAATCAACATTGTCAAATTGAAGAAGAATTTTTTTCTGTATTGGCAAAAGGATAATACAATAGGAATTACAAATATAACTCTCTATTTTCTCTCTACAGAATTTGCTATGCTACTGGAAATTTTCGGATGGGATGATCCAAATGAATGAAGGATGTTGCCTATTTATAGCAACCAAAAAGTCTAGAGAATTCTTAAGCATTTAATATTATATTAAATGCATAGGAACTTGCAATGCAAGAAAACTTCTCCTGCAAATTTCCCCAAGCAAAACCTATGTCCCAAAACCTCATCTCTAGCTTTTCCCTTGAATAAAACCTATGCCCATGCTTTTCCCCTTTACAAACCTATGCCCAAGCATTTAATGCATTTGTCTTATTCAAACTTCATCCCAAGTTCCCTTAGGAAACCTCATCCCAAATTCCCTTAGGAAAACTCCTCCCAAGTTCCCCTAGGAAAACTCCTCCCAAGTTCCACTAGGAAAACCTCTTCCCATTCCACATTTGACTTTAATATTTACATTCTAGACCATTTTTCACGTTGTAAATGTCCAAACTAGCCTTTGTGGTTTTCATGAAAGTTGTAGCTCTCTGAGTTTCCTTTCTAATGCCACTTGAATCACGCTATTTGGACACGCCTAGTTCGAGATATGCTCAAATTACCGAGACTTCGCCTGACAGAAAAAAGTACAAAGCAGAATGGTGTCACGCTGGCAATCACGGCGTGACCACCAGCGTGACCCATGTTTTTCACTTCAAAATGCATATTTCTTCATCTCCTTTGTTCCTTTGGGTCCTCGGGTCATGTCATGATATTTCCACTCGCTTTATTGCATCTTCTTGACCTCTAATGACTCCCGGAACTTGCCTAGATGTGACTTCAAAACACAACCAATTGAGCTCCAATTTACATGAAGTTACAATCAATGCCTCCAAATAAGACACAAAGGAATCAAATAGGAACATACTTAGCTTCCAATTAACATGAAATCATATGAGTTTGAAATCAATTATGCACATAAAGTACTAAAAGTTAGCACTTATCAGTCTACAAAAACTCTGCTTAAATTAAAAATTTATTTTTAGTGTCAAAATCCCCCAAATGTAACGTTAAGCAATTGACCCACTTTATTATCTTAAATACATGTTCAAAAGATGATATTTGTTGTTGCCGTTTCTATTTAAAATAGACATGCCTTAATTCTCAACATAAAAACATATATTATTATTATTATTATTATTATTATTATTCATGTATAATAGTCAGTGGATCAAAAGTGAAATTTATTCTATTCTCTATCTATATCATGATTTCTAAGAGTTTTTTCCCAAAATGGTCCCTTGACTATCGCTCATTCTCAATTTTGCATTTCGACTTTTAATTGCACCCAATGTGGTCCCTTGACTTTTAAAAACTGCCCCAAATCGGTCCTCCGTTAGAAATTCCGTCTATTGAGTGTTAAAATGAAGGGCATTTTCGTCTGTTTACCTATTATATGCCTAATATACTCTGAAAAATAGTCGAGGGACCATTTTGAGAATAGTCGAGGAATCATTTTGGGAAAAACTCATTTATTTATTTCAGTTTTGTTTATTTCCATTTTTTTAAAGACAATCAAATTAGAATTTCTATACATTTTTTTTCTTACAAATATAAATAGTTAAAATCCACAATCAAAAGTCAAAATTTTAAACTTTCTCTACAAATTTTTTCCTTCTATCTAAACATACCAACTTCCCTCTATTCCTATCAAGTTTTACAATAAGTTCCGTAAGTTTCAAAATTATAATACTCATATACTTTTTATGTTCACATACACACACACAAACACACACACACACACACACACACACACACACAAACTTCAATAGACAATCAATCACTATGTATCACATTAAATATTATTTTTACCAATAAAAATAACATTACTATTTTTATCAGTTTAGACACCCAAAATGTACGCTTCATTTCTCGGTCAGTATGCCTTTGAAAATAAAATTATTATTTTTACAATCAATCGCTATGCTTCTAGCACTTCTTGGAACTGAGAAGTACGCGTCACTTCTCGGTCAATGACAAAATCTTAGAAAATATTTTTTAAAAGTTGGCTTAACTTAACTTGCAAGGCCATTAGTTTCATTCCAAAGTTAGTACAAATCATAACTACCATTTCCAAATTCCTATCTACCAAGAAGTACATCATGCTAAAGAGAGTCTACAACTATGGCTATCAATTTTATGTGTTAAAAGGACAAGTAAAATAAACCAAATGCAAAAATAATTAGCACAAAACAAGCAATTCTAAACCTAAAGCCTCATCATTTTTCAATATTACAAGTTCTTGTCATTTTGAAGTTTGTTTGTATTTTATATATGAATATTAATAAACTTAAATTTGAAAGTTAAACTTGTTTACCAAAGTACGAAACTTATTGTAAAACTTGATAGGGATAGAGGAAAAATTTGTATGTTTAGACAGAAGGAAAAAATTGTAGAGAAAGTTTAAAATCTATTTATATTTGTAAGAAAAAAAATCTATAGAAATTCTAATATGATTAGTCTTAAAAAATGAAAATAAATAAATGAATTTTTCCCAAAATGGTCCCTCGACTATTCCCAAAATGGTCCCTCAACTATTTTTCAGAGTATATTAGGCATATAATAGGTAAACGGACAAAAATGCCCTTCATTTTAACACTCAATAGACGGAATTTCTAACGGAGGACCAATTTGGGGGAGTTTTTAAAAGTCAAGGGACCACATTGGGTGCAATTAAAAGTCGAAATGCAAAATTGAGAATGAGCGATAGTCGAGGGACTATTTTGGGAAAAAACTATGATTTCTAATGCTTAACTCTACCAGTCGGGCATGGGAAATGGATGTATAACGTAATTTTACTGTACAACGAAGCTATTATCATAATTATTCTCTGTCTATGACTTGATTTATATTGCTTACTCCAACTGCATGGGAAATTCTCTATCTATGACTTTATTTTTATTGTTTACTCCAGAAGTTGGGGCATGTACGGAAAATGTATAATGTAACTTCACTGTGCAACAAAACTTCTATCACGGGCGGGGCATAGGAAATGTATAAAGTCACTGCACTGTTTAGCAAAACTTCTATCATAATTGTGGAAATTGTATAATGTAACTTCATTCATATATAGTTATTCTTGGGAAAAATTTCAAGAGTGTGTAGCGCTTTCATACAAGGATAGCCCCCTGGAGTTTTTGGAGTCTGCTCGCAATAGACGGGAGAGGGCCAATTAGTGAGTTTCTATCTAATGCTAAAACTTAAGTTAGCTAGGTAAGATTTACAATTGATTATGGGAAACTGTCATAGAAATTGTTTGAATAGAGATATAAAAATGTGAGCTCTTGGAGGTTAGAAAAGATATCTAGAATTCCTCCCTCAAAATTATTGTATGAAGGACCTAAATAACTTGGTTGATTCAAATTTGAGATTGTGAGTTGGACATTACCGCTGAATTCATTATCGCTAAAGTCCATTGCTTTTAAATGTGTTAGGTTGTCAATTCATTGTGAAATAAAACCGGAAAAACTTCTCTTAGTAAGTATAAAATACGTAAAGGATCTCTAATTGAATTTGGTAGCTAGCTCTCTAGAAATACTTGTCAAACTAAGGGTGTGTTTGGTTGGTGGGTTTGCCTATAAGAATAGGTATGAAAGTGATTGTTGTTGTTTGGTTGATAGGTTTTTAGAACACTACTATGGATTTCGAATACCCCATCAATTGAAAAATCCATACCCAAATACAATGAGGGTTTCATTCCCTTATTCATTCTCAAGCACTACTATTAGTAACCATTCCCATTCCACTCTAGTAACAAACATGTTAAATATTTTCACCAAAACCCATTACCATTACCAAGTATTTGATACCCATTCCGATTCCGATTCCTATGTACGAACCAAACACACCCTAAGATCTATCACTTATAGTGTTTGATTGCAATTCCAACTGAGCTTTGGTAATGAAACAACTAGCTTGGAATTATAGGATAGAATAAGTGATTCTAATTTTAACAATTGAAAAATATAGTCAACTATATTGTTCCTTGTAAGATCTCAATATCGTAATAAAGCAGATATATATATATATATATATATATATATATATATATATATATATATTCCTTGGATACCCATTGCAGTCACTAAAGCAATTTGGATGCAAAGAAGTGCCTGATCAAGTTTGCAACATTTCCATGCTCCAGTAAAAGTACTTCTCCCAGTGAATTCATTGACAGGAAAGAGGAGCTTCATGTTGCTTTTTATGACTTAATTTCAGTAGATGTCCCTTGTATTTGGTGACAATTTCAAATTTAGTCTCACACTATCATTTTTTTTCTATTTAACAACCCAAAAACTATCATATCTTGAGCACTTTTGTTCCTTCCGATGACTTTTTCGGTGAAACACTATTTTAGGCAAGAGTGATTTCGTCTCTTCATTTTTTTAAAATTTATTTTCTCAATGATTTAATTCTAAAAGATGTCCCTTGTCTTTTGGTGACAATTCCAAACTTTGTCCCAAAGAATCATTTTTGTCATTTAACAACCTAAACTATCATATTTTTTATACTTTTAGTTCTTCCGATGACTTTTTCTGGTGAAACCCTATTTTATACAAGACTATTTTCGTCTCTTCATTTTTTTTCTAATTCTTTGCGTTTTTTTTTTCGATTCTCGTCTCTTTGGCTGTGGATTGCACCATCTCCTTCACCCTACACTTGTCTCATCTCCTTCAACCTGACCCCAAATCATCCTTCGTCAATGGTGATACCAAGTACATGAGGATCACTGGGTGCAAGGAATCATTTTGCAATGCAATTGGAAAGCTCAAGATGACGCCACCTCGTCGGCTTCAGTCTAACAGCTATTGTTGTACTATAGTTGTAGAGCAAAAAATAAGGAAAAAGAAAAAGAAAGAAATTAAACTTTTTATTTGTCATCGGAAAATACTCTTTCCAAAAATAGGGTTACATCGGAAGGACCAAAAGTATCCAAAATATTATAGTTTGGGGTGTTAAATGTCAAAAACGATTGTCTAAGACTAAATTTGGAATTGTCACCAAAGACAAGGGACCTCTGCTCGAATTAACTCATTGAAAATTAAAAATAATTAAAAAAAAATAAAAAGATGAAAATACCCTTGCCTAAAATAAGTTTCACCAGAAAAGTCATCGGAAGGACCATCAATGTCCAAAATATAATAGTTTGGGATGTTAAATGACAAAAATGATAGTTTGAGACTAAATTTGAAATTATTACAAAAGACAATGGATCTCCGAGACTCCGATGATATTAACTCGCTTTTTATTGCGGGGTGGGCAAGTAAAGTGAAATTAAAGCGGTTAAAGTAGTAGGGATAATATTAGAGAAGAGGCGTGAACATTATAGATTAAAGTCACAAGATATCATGTATCTAACATTACTCTTTTTCTTACAAGTTATTAATACAAGTTGTACACTCACTACTAGTCTAATATATAATAAAACATACTTTTCTAGTTAATTAAGTGCATTGTGTAATGTCATACATTTTAATAAGCTATTTAATTCTCTTAAATAATGCAAAAATGTTACACAAAGGCACAATCTATCAACTTATTCTTGTTTTTGCTTTGCATTGCAAACAGGATGACTGCATCATATCCATCTAGGTGAAATATGAAAAATGAAATATTCAATCTTATTAAAGTAATTAAATATTCTTGATTCTTATTTTAATCCTAATGACAGGTATATTGCAATTCAATCTGATTAATTAATTATTTCCTAGTCCTGCTTTTTCCCACATAACCATGGAAGATGTAAGGCTTTCAGTTTATCTGATCTGAGACCTAGCTAAGTGTACACCAGTAACATAATATTTTCACAAGCTCAGAGTTACCAATATATATGTGAACTTCAACGGTTCCATGAGTTTCCCCAGCCTGCTTCCTCATATAATTACTGGTTGCAACACTGCAAGTTTAAAAAGATGATTGATGATTGAAAGAAAGTGGAAGGTGGAAATAGAATGAGCAAAAGACAATGATATTTGTAATGCACTGTAGTCTAAAGGAACAATGAAAAGTTTTAGATAAATACCACTGATGTATTAGATGATGTGTGAGTCGGTGTAGCAAAGTAAGGGGGGCCAAGACCATGAAAAATGTAACAGAAACACTACATACTGGTTCATTACAAAATAATAAAATAAAAAATGAAAGTACGAGGTCACAAAACTGTCACACATTTTACAAATTCCTAATATTTTAAGTGACAAAATACTTACGTCAATTACTAGTGAGAATTTTGGGAGCTAGACAACATATAAGAATAAATAAGGTGGTAGATTCACATACAGTAATTTGGTTAAAACTTGGGTTATTCAGAAACCTGTACCATTCGTCTTCAAACATCACTTGTAACTGAGACATCGATCAGTAGTAACAACCTGAAATATTTGCAAATGTATAGTAGCAACGAGTAAAAACTACTACTGCTGGAAATCTGTATTTTTTCGACCACCAAAACGTGGTCGGAAAAGGGTGCTTTCCAGTCGAAAATGCAGTTTCCAACCAACTTAACGACCACTTTATGGATTCGGAAAAAATGCCCTCGCTATTACCGACAACTAGTCAAGGTGGTCGGAAGTACCTGTTTCTTTTTTAGGACGTCAGAACTACTCCTTGTCGGATAAAGAAAGCATATTTTCTACCACTGGTGATCGGTAATTGGTCGGAATTACCATCTACCGGTGGTTGGTAAGGTTTACAATGAAAAAATTAAAAAAATTGAGAATAAAATTTAAAATCCTACAAATATCAAATGAATTAGACCTGTTACAATTATACAAATTTCAACACCACAATATTAAATTCTACAATACAATTAACAATTTAAGGAAATCAAACATTAGTCAATCATTTAAATCAAAGTGTAGCAATTGTTTCACCATCAAACATACATTTGTCAAAATATTAGTTAAACATGCATGCTAATAAGGTTTTGTAGCAATTGTTTCAGCATCCAAAATACATTTTCAAAACATTCAAATAATGCACTATCTAATCTTGATTAGAGTGGGAGAATAGTGTATTATCATCGGACTGATTGGAGGGAGGCTGTGTATCGTCACGCCACCAGTGGTCTTCAACCACACTGTTCTTTCTGCCATTTCTAGTTGTTTTTACTTCAAGTCAGTCACTGTTTCCTGAGAAGGAAAAAAAAAAAAAAAAAAAAAAGCCTAATGAGAAGGAGCCATCAGGAATGGAGTACGGGTACTGATGTTCGAAATACTGTGTAGTGTATATATATATATATATTTGTCGGCTCAAACCGGTGGAGTTTGCATTTCCCAGAGGGTTTTCCGGTTAAGAGTTCTCACAACAAATGATTCATTATTTGCCTGCCAAAATAATTAATGCATCTTGTAAAATCACACTGATAATTCCATAATCCATAGGTAACTTTTTGTTCGGTGAAATTATGGCAACCATCCATGAATGTATTCTTTCTACCACTTTAGAACAGCCAAACAATTACAAGCTCAAAAACTGAATACGGTTAATTAAGCCAATATTCATTATAAAACATACCTCTTTAATTATTGATTTAGCAGGAACCCCAAGAACTGCTGCTCCAACAAGCCAACCATCATATCCTTTATGACCTGCAAAGAAATCTACAAAATTGAGAAACACTAAAAAGGCTTCCATTTATACTATTCTAATAGTTGAGTTTCTCTACTCCCCCATCCCCTCAAAACATTTAAAAAAAAAAAAAAAAAGGCATACATACAATTATGTCCATTGTTAACTCGAATTTTTTATACAAAATGCAATTAATTATCAGTTAAGTCAAGCTTGGTCTATTCTTTCATCCAGTGCAATTTATATGCCTACTCTTCACAGATATTATGTAGTAGATCACAAGAACATTTTATTCAGAATAAAGGTACATAGAAAATGGTCTCAATATTACCTAGAAGAGGAAAAGACAAAAGGACTTTTAGCAAATGAACAAACCTTTTATACATCTCCTGCCAATACTAGAGGTCTCCCAGCATCATGGATGCAAATGAGTTCAGAACTCAAATCAACTTCCTGAAACATCAAAGCAGTATGTGAAACTAGAAGATTAAAAATAATTACTGATCTGAGAATTGTAATGATACTAATATGTCCTTAATATTAAAACCATGAGTCCACGACTGAGTGATAACTGACAAATATAAATTGTCTCAAACTTGCAAGAATTTCCAGTGAATAGGGAATCTTTGATGTTCCAAATCTTGAGCTTCAGATTTTCTTCCCTGCATAGAAGGCCTCTATTCATTATAAAAAGAGTACTGTTAATTAACTGCCAACTCTATTCATTAGTAACAAGGTTAAATATGCACAATAACTTAAACAACAAATAACTAAGAGACAATAATACCTTAGATATCTTCAAATTCTTCTCATATGTTTTGTTTTAGTACGAGCCTTAGCATCAACTGAAATTTTTCTATATTGATGAATAACAACAGAATTAAAATCTTAACTCGATCGATCTTAGTTTTTTCTATCTCATGCACTGATGGTTGATTACCTGAACATTACTTTTCTGTAGGCTACTGTGCAGCTCTTCCAAGGGTGGATGCCGCTGGTGTCAATGTCAGTAACAGCTGCAAATTAGACAAGAACATAAACATGTTTTGCACCACAATATTAAATTCTACAATACAATTAACAATTTAAGGAAATCAAACATTAGTCAGTCATTTAAATCAAGGTGTAGCAATTGTTTCACCATCAAAAATACATTTGTCAAAATATTAGCTAAACATGCATGCTAATAAGGTATTGTAGCAATTGTTTCAGCATCCAAATGAGTTATAAGAAGCTTGAAACAATTGCTACAAATGGTCTATTCTTAAGTGTTACTACAAATGAGTTATAAGCATCTATTTAAAGTTCTAAACCATAAATGGCTACCACAAAACGGGAGAAACTTTTGTGTTCAATGATGGGTGAAAGAGGATTTGACGGATAAAGGAACGAGCACACAACATCTTCTTGCAAGTCCTGAACTTTTATTGAAATTCAACGGGTAAAAATTGCTGTAGGAGAGACGCCCAATCACTGAAAATAAAAAAAGCAAACAACTTTAAGCGAGTTTGCATTGATGATAAAACTTCAAGAACACAATGCCAGGAAGATGATGTATTAAGTTTCAAGCCAAATTTAGATACCAAAAGGCAATAAGTTGTATGATAGGACTCAAGTAAACGAAAAGTACTAACGTGCAGGATTCGAGGTTGTTAACATATCCAATTTCAACCAATATCTGCAGTGCACATAACTATGCCGCATCGTCCCTTCCAACAGGATAATTCCCCAATATATAATCGTGTTGTAACTGTAAAAACAGTTCAGTTATTACCAAGCAAAGAAGAAAAACATCAGAGCACCGAAAGTAACAAACTAAAAGCAAATTTTACTTGAACATTGGATCAGTTACGGCTTCATCCGACTCCCGGAATAACTTCTTTTTAAACACTAGTTTGAAGTGCATAACCTCCCCTTTGCCAATGTACTTCGATGTCTTAAAATTAGCCAGTAGATCCGCAATTCAACTAGCTAGTGTCTTAAGGGGCAATTATAAATTTTTAGAACTTATCTCTTTTTTAAATTTTGACTCTATTACAATGTAGTATTCGTCTTAAATACTTTCTCAACCTACGTACTGAAGCACAAAGAGTCAACATGTGACCTCCCGTTTGCAATAAAAAATATTGTTCAGAAAGCAGATATCCCAGAAGAACAATAAAGTCTTGCAAAAATAGGTTTCTAGTATATCAGGGCAGAAATACAAGAGTTGCAGAGTATAATACCTTAGATATCTTCTTTCTTCTTCTCATATGTTTTGTTTTAGTAAGAGCTTTAGCATCAACTGAAGTTTTTCCATGTTTTTCACTTTTGCCATTGTACTAGATGCAATATGCACTCCTGACAATAAAGTCAAACTATATAATTCTTCCGAACAGCCAAACTAATATAGAGTTCCAATAAAGTTCAGGAATCATTATTGATATAAAGTACTAAAACATTGTTTCTTAAACTTCACAAAAAAAATTGAACAATCAGCCAAATCAAGTAGCATAGGTTTGCTTTGATAAACTTTCAACTACTAAATCAAAACATATTGTAACCACAAACCCAAATAAAACTATGCACTGAAAATTATAAAATATTATGATCAACAATCTCATCTCCTAAGATGTCAATCTCTTAGGATAAGATATTCATATACCTTTTGAACTTTCCCTTGTAATACAAGTCTTCTCATCTTTGAACTCAATAACCTTCTAAAATTGGGTGGCACTTCATACCTTTGCTGCATTAGGGAGCAAAGCGCTCCGCTAATGAAAATATATCAGTCAAACTAAAACAGAAAGACTAAAGAAAAGAAAAACATGGTAAATGAAAACAATCAAAGATGTAAGCATAATATGAAAACAAAATCCAATCCAAACCAAACAGTTAGATTCTACAAAAATCAATATACAAATTTCTCAGCTCAAAGCCTCAATTTCTAAAAACCATAACTCTGGTATGAATTAACAGTAAAGGAATTATCATTAAGAGATAAAAGGGGACAAGCAGATTACTCCACAAACAGAATAAGACCAAGTATGTTTTATAGAAGCAGCAAGATTAATAATCCAAACACTACCATGTTCGCTGAGAAAAACATGACCATACCGAACAAACCTAGTTTGATCCCTTCTAATGCAGAATTGCACAGGTTAATTACATGTTATGCTATTCCTAAGAGACTAAGATTAGTAATCACAACTCACCGGTAATCATTTTAACATTTACTCCAAGATTTAGAGCCCTCCTAAAGGTCTCTGCACTGTCATGCCGTGGAGGATCAAACAGCTTTGCTGAAGCCACGCAAGGAAGGACAAGAACATTGACTTTTAAATTAGGGCTTAATCCCTTTTATTAAGGTTGGAATTGGCATATTAATTATGAAAACACGAAAATACTCTTACCAATTTCACATCCTGACGTGTTTTAGCCAAAGCAGTGACTGGCATGAAAGCAATAGTCGTTTGATGAAAATTGACAAGTGATTAAACATGTGGACCAAAACTATCATTCCGCTAATGTTAGTGGGATCAAAATTGATATTTGCTCAAAATGTATAAATCAATTCAACAATCTTAACGTGATAGCACAAGAATAAAAGACTAGACATTTCGAAAAAGATGGGGTTGCTCACCTGCTACCATGGCCCTTCTGCACTGACCCACAACTGATATCTCTGCACTTCATAACTTTCCTTTACACCTCAAACATTCTAAATATAGACTATTGTTCTGGTAACTTAAATGATTGTTTTCTTTAGGTCCAGAGACACCTGCTTAATCCCCGTTCGGTTATCCCAAAATTTTCTCCACAAAGAGAGCTCATTTACCATCTAAGCTACCACCCCGTTTTAAATGATTGTTTTTCTTGATTATTAAAATGTATACAATAATTGACTTCTCAACATCAACTTCTACGTTCACTATAGGAACTGTTTTTCCACAATAACTTAAAGCTAAATTTAAAGAGAGATCCAAAAGTTCACTTCCACTTACAGTGAATGACCTACCTAATAAATGGAAGTAATCCTAACAAGCCAAGACGACTTAGGTAAAACAAGATAACAAATGTATTTATCGCTAGAAAATTGTAGACATGAAGATATTTAAAAATTAAGCTTCTTGCAGCAGTTTAAATAAGACTATTAACTGAGCTGGTATTATTCCTTTAATTTGCCTAATTAAAGTAGATAAGGCAACACTGTACATTACTTACAGTAATTTGGTTAAAACTTGTAGCATTCGTCTCCAAACATCACTTGTAACAAAGGCATCAGTAGTAACGAGCTTAGTAAAAACTAATATTTTCAGGGTAGAATTATATTAGGAGACAAATAAAAATTAAATGACGTACACCAAGCATGCATTGTCGGCATGTTAGGATGGATGATCCCGAGCAGGACGACCCTTTGCCAATTGCCATCATATCCACAGAGTGAGGAATAAGTAAATTCAAAACATATACCAAAGAATTAGAATTCAAAGTATTAAGCGTTTATTCTGAGGAATTATCTATATCTGTATCGGTCTGAGTCACATTTGTGAGTCACATGTCTTGCCTACTACTGAAGAATCTGTGCCTACTGTTTCAATATCTTTTTGCACCTTCTATATCTGAGTCATCCATCTATGCTGCCCTGTACTGAGAAGAGAAAGAAAATTCCCACTGCTTCAAGAAATTGGCTGGATGGCATTCAACAGTGGAGAATGTATGTTGGTCCCTATTCCAAGCTTTTAAACTGTGAGTTTTATTGCAATCTAACTAATGATCCTACAAGTGTGAGACATTCATCAGGGGTAAATGGTATGTATGAGTTGAATCCCCAGGTGATAAGTGAATTTTATGAAGTTGAGGCAAAGCCTATTGAGGATCGGAGCTCCATACCCCCATATGAGGTAATGAAATCCAGAATTCAATATCGAGTTGTTGAATGAGTGTTAGGAGGTAAACATGTGAAGGATGTTGAGGCGGTCACACCATCTCTAGTGCTAGCCCCAACTAATGCAAATGATGAGAACCTTACTCCCTTTTTGAATTGCATGTTAAAAATGATATAATTATTTTTGTAAAATATTTCTCTCAAGTAAAATAAATATTGTATATTTGAATAAGTGAATTTTTTATACAACCATATTGGTCGAACCTAAGCTTGTACAACCATAGCAATAGTGGATTTGATTTGTAACCTTCCATATACAATGAAAGTAAAAAAACCAAAATGATGAATCACAAATTGTAAATTAATGCATGAGTAGACTTGAAAGAGATGGACAGATGGGAACAAATATAACCTACGGAAATTTTTTCCCCAGGCCAACCATTAACCTAAATATTGGCGGGCTCGGGCTGACTCTGTGCATGTTTTCAATAAACAATTTGTGATATTTTTTACCTTGATAAGTCCACTCTTCTTATCCACTTCATACTTCACCTTACCCCCTTTGCTGATCTCAATTACCTGCATAGATATAGTCATATACAAAAACTTAACCTGATACCAAATTAATCCATTAAATATCATGCCATTCCCCGAGTATAACACAAGTAAATCCATATGGTCAAGGTCAATGAGCACTTGAGCATTCAAATGGGAGGGTAAGACAATATCAACGTTTTTTTTTTAAATTTCTGATGGATTTGCTTGAGGGTTCAAATAGGATTAGCTCATTTGCTTTTTGCATATAAATGGTTATAAGACGTATATGTTATTTACATTAAATTAAAAAATTTTATGGCATTCAAAGCAGTGGGATATGATTTACTGCATGATACGAGTCCTAACTAAATTTCTAAAATGAACAAATTGAAAATTTAGAAGGAACATTTTAAAAGTTAAGTAATCTGAGCAAAGTGAATGCTTACCACATTGAAAAGCTTTGGAGCTTCAGGCCCTGGATCAGATCACAAGACACAGATCAAGTAACTTTAAACTCCAAAAAGTTATCAACTCTAGATATGGGCAGAATTTAGATAAATACCAATCTCAAGATCATGCCAAGGATGAGCAGCAACTAATCTCCAAGTCACAGAAGATAGTATCCTTTCATTGAATGGAAATATGTCAAACTTACATGGAATGCTGGATGGCTTCATAAGCATCAGATGCCGGTACAAACTCATTAACTGCAACTTCCTTCTTCTCATTCTTCTTGTCTCAATAATTGTGGTTAAGCATCAAATATTGTCATCTTTTTCTCCCTGAATTCCAAACACTGTTAAATATTGCTTTAGGTTTATAGAAATAAATTTTAATGTATTGCTATTTACCTGATCAATCATGGGCATAAGGCCAATTGCTCTGCCCCGGAGAAAGCAGCCTGGAAGGATAGGTTGGTTCCTAATCATCACCAACAACACTCAGCATCTTAAAATATACAAAATAACAGAGTTAAAGGCAACACAAATAACACTTTGTTAAAAACAATAGCTAAACTGCCCGTTTCATCACAAATAACAATAGCACTTTGCTAGATAGTAGTTTAAACCTTTGGAGATGATGTTTCCACTATGGCATCAGTTCAATCCCCAGGTACGTGATAAATGAATTTTATGAAGTTGAGGCAAAGCCTATTGAGGATCGGACCTCACTAACTGGGATTGGATTGCAAAGATCATTACTCCCTCCCTATGTGATCATCAAAGGATAACATTGCAAAAATTAAAACGAACATCTTTATAGGATTATAATCTTTATTTATGAAAGGAATTAAAGTGGTTGACAAAAGAATTGAAGACAACAAGTATCCTCAAAGAAGCGGCGGATCTCAGCAAAACGATGTGGTGGAAGCTCCTTGATGTCTGTGTAGTACGTGTCTGTACTCATCAGGATCATCACCACACACTGCAATCATCTTTTTCTCCCTCAATTCCAAATATTGCTTTAGGTTTAGAGGAAGCAGCCTGCAAGGATAGGTCTTTAAACAATTTGTGTTAAACACAAAACAGTTCAAATTTTTTCCTGAGCTCAACCAGCCTGACTGATGGGTCTACATTTCAGTACCCAGTCAAGAAGCATTAATTGTGCATGTTTTCAATAAACAATTTGTGATATTTTTTTACCTTGATAAGTCCAGTTCATACTTCACCTTACCCCCCTTAAAGCTTGCTCATCTCAATTACCTGCATAGATATACAAAAACTTAACCGGAAATCCTTGTCCACACAAAAATAAACCTCAGCACTTGAGCATTCAAAAGGGAGGGTAAGACAATATCAACATTTTTGTTTTCAAATTTTTTATGGATTTTCTTGAGGGTTCAAATAGGATTATAGCTCATTTGCTTGTTGCATATAAATGGTTATAAGACGTATATGTTTTTTTACATTAAATTAAAAAATTTTACAGAGTTCAAAGCAGTGGGATATGATTTACAGCATGATATGAGTAGTCTTAACTAAATTTCTAAAATGAACAAATTGAAAATTCAGAAGGAACATTTTTAGCAAGCAAGATTTGAGCAAAGTGAATGCTTACCACATTGAAAACCTTTGGAGCTTCACAAGACACGGATCATGCCAAGGATGAGCAGCAACTGATCTCCGAGTCATGGAATATAGTATCCTTTCATTTAGTGGCGGATGCGAGGACATATTTCCCTTGAATTGGGAGCAAAGTGAATGCTTATCACATTGAAAACCTTTGGAGCTTCAGGCCCGGGATCAGATCACAAGACACGCATCAAGTAACTTTAAACTCCAAAAAGTTATCAACTCTAGATATGGGCAGAATTTAGTTAAATACTTATCTCAAGATCATGCCAAGGATGAGCATTGCAGCAACTGATCTCCGAGTCATGGAAGATAGTATCCTTTCCTTTCATTTAGTGGCGGTTTGTAACCGACATATTTCCCTTGAATTGGGAGCTTTGATTGGTGTTTCAATAGGTGGAACCATAGTTGGAAACTGGACATTTAAAAAATAAAAAAATGAGGAGCAGATAGATCATAAACACAGAGACAAGAATTGAGTGTAAATGTAGGATCTATGCTATTCAACTTCCAGCATCCTCATACACACAAAACCAGAAACCAAATCATAATCAAAATGTTGATTCAGAATGCAGATGTACTGCTTTCTGGCAAATGCACAACTACATTTCCCTAAACTATCAATTTCGAGTCTTTATTATTTGCACAATAAGATTCATTATTTTAATAACACCAACTTCTTAAAATGATACACATTTGTTGCAGGATTCTTTTGCCAGATCAGCACATGAAGACAAGAAATCATCAAAAAATAAATAACAAACAGACAGTATAAACAGAGAAATCATTCTAAGTTCAAAACAGAAGCAAAGTGGCATTGGATACACAAAACATACATCACAATCTCTATAAATTTCCCTACCAAATATTAATGAGGATGAAAAATTAACAACCAAAAAAACTTTCAATTAAAGAAAGAGTGAGTACCAAATTTAGGTAGTTTTTTTTTACAATCAGACCTTAATACAAAACCACTCTACTTAATCAACAACTAAATGGTATATAGCTGTGTAAGAACAAATTGATACCAATTTCTAAAGAAACAAATGCATCAATGGAACCATATTCAATTTGGGGAAAAGTAAGAGTTTTGGCATCCCAATCGCTGAGAGTCACCTCCAAGGGCTTCTCCATCACCCTCCCCAGAACTTCCCACGCCATTCTCTTCAACCCCATCCTCATGAACTGCTCCGAGCCGTAAACCCCCGCGGCCACCCACCGCAAATCCGCAACGTTTTCCACCACCAACCCATGGTCCCGGAAGAGCTTCTCGGCGTCATCTCGGACCCCAACGCCGACGAAGATGAATCTGGGATTAGCCAGGAAGGCGAGGAGAGACTGGGGAGTGTAGTCCTTGTGCAAAAGTTGAAAAATCAGACAGCTTTTCCCGACGATGAGGCTGTGGAGGACATGGCGGTTGTTGTAGACAACCTCGTTGACCCATTGATCAACCTCAGCGGCTCTCTTTGTCACCGTGACGCTGAGGTTTATGCCGTGAAACTGGTTTATGCCGTGAAACTGGACTTGGTGTTGTAGCCCAGAGAAGCATTGCGTCTGAGTCTGAGTGTGGGTTGAAACTCAAAATTCTGGACTTGTCTGCGGCGTCTGTGTCTGGGTGGAATCATCATATCGATCACCCCCAACAAACTGGAAAAGCTTTCAATTTTGGATTAAGATGAAGTGATGGGTATGAAAATATGAAACACAGAAAGGTAGGATTTGGAGTGAGTTACTGAGTTTGAAGATGGAAACAACAAATCTTTGAGTTACTGAGTTTGAAAGTCACTTTACCGTTTTTATTTGGTTTTAGGAAAGTACTAATTCAAATTGGAAACCAATCTGCTATGTTATGGGTAAAGAAACCCGTCTTGGCTAAGGGAATTGAACCCGACGTGAATCGAACACGCAACCTTCTGATCTGGAGTCAGACGCGCTACCATTGCGCCACGGATCCACAAGTGTTAGTCCGCGGCTTTAGAAGTTATTTGCCTTAGATTTTAGTAGACTTTTATTTTGCAGGTTAATTCCTCTGTGAACAAATACATGCCTTGTATTTTTTTTTTCTAGAATTAATTTCACTTTTAGTCATATGATTGCAATAAAATTTTTATTTAAACTTTTACAAATTAAAATTGATGCTAAAATGTAAAAATATCACTATAATTGTATGATCAAAGGTAGAATTAATTTTTTTTAAAAAAAATTTCTTGATTGAGAATATCAATGTTTGGACTATTTTGTCCAAACTATTTGATATTTCTTACATGTCGGAGTTAATTACTCCAGTAGATAAGAATGCTCAAGCCTTATATCATAGAACAGGGTTCATAGTGCATTGTGGACCACTACTGGAAATTATGGAATTTTCGACCACCTTAAAATGATCTTAAATCAAGTCAAAAGCCTTGTTCCGACCACTTTTGGTATCCGAAAAAACCTTTGTTGCTATTTCCGACCACTTTTTGGACTTTTTGGTATCAACTTAATTTAAGATCATTTTCAGGTGGTCGGAAATTCTATAATTTCCCGTAGTGGACCCTGATGCATATGTATGTGTCTAATGTTGTGAATTTTTGTTTCTTGTATTATGAAATTATGTACTTTGAGAATGTTAATTCTGTAATTGAAACAAATTAGTAACTATGTATTATGTTAAAAATTTATGCGTTTTGTGTTGTGAAATTATGTGCCTATTAACACAAATTATGTACATAAATCAAATTTGGAAAATAATTAAATATATAACATGTTTATGTGTCTTGTGTTGTTATTTTTTGTATTTTCTATTATGAAATTTTGTATCTTAAGAGTATGAATTTTGTACCTCATCGTTACAATTCAGGATCCATAATACTATGTGGACCATGATGCATAGTATAAATTGCCAAGAATATTGGGGCAAGCTTATGTTTGCATAGCAGGCCGTCCATATTACAATTTAATTAATCTCAACCACTAAATAATTTGGACTAAATTTTAAATTTGTTACAAACAATAATGATACTAAAATGCTTTATATTGGAGGGCATAAACATGGCAAATTATGCTGTGCATCCGTATGCACCATGTATGGTGCATACGGATGCAAAAACGACGTCGTTTTGCTTCAAAACGCGCATCCTACTTTAAAAAAAAAAAAATCAATTTCGATTCCCAACAACAACATTATGTTATTCATTTTTTAGTTCATTCATTCTGGATTTTTAGTTATGAAATTCTGAATGTATAGTTATGCAATTCTGGATATGTAGTTTTGAAGTTATGGATGTGTAATTATGCAATTCTGGATTTATAGTTATGAAGTTATGGATGTGTAGTTATGCAATTCTGGATGTATACTTATGAAGTTATGGATGTGTAGTTATGCAATTCTGGATTTATAATTATGAAATTATGGATGTGTAGTTATGTAATTCTGGATGTATAGTTATGAAGTTATGGATGTGATGAAATTATGGATGTGCAGTTATGTAATTATAATTTTTTTTTTTTTTAAGTTAGACGTCAAAACGACGTCGTTTTTGCATCCGTATGCACCATGCATGGTGCATACGGATGCACAACATAACGCTATAAGAAAATTAAAAACTAATTTCTTTAATTTATTTAAAACATTCGTATGAATATAAAATACGATGATACTTTAATAATTTTCTCCAATTTAAAGTACACTTTAATTTACAAAACTATAGACATATAAAAACTAACTAAATATTGAAGCCTTCTCAATTTGCATGTCTTGAGTTCTCTGGTAAGCTCAATATGGTCATTTGACTTTTAATTTCACCCAAAGTAATTCCCTGACTATAGTAAAACACTGAATTTCTAGTTTTATCCTTCATTTAAACACCCACTTAACACCAAAACTAACAGAGGACAATTTTGACTTAAAATTTAATAGTCAGAGGATCACTTTGGGTGCAATTAAAAGCCAATGAACCAATTTAATAGCCCAAAGAAGCGTCTGCGTCTGAGTCTGGGTGGAACCGTCATATCGCCCCCAAGAAACTCAAAGTTCTGGAAAAGCTTTCAACTTTGGATTAAGATGAAGTGATGGGTATGAAAATATGAAACACAGAAAGGTAGGAATAGAGAAATCTTGAAGTGAGTTAGTGAGTTTGAAGATGGAAACAGCGAAATCTTTGAATGGATAGAGGGAGAGAGGAAAGGGGTATATATAATTTCAGTCAGCGTAATGGTAAACTTGTTGTGAAAGTAAGTGTGGAGCAATACTGTACCGTTTTTATTTGGTTTTAGGAAAGTAGTATAAATGGATAGAGGGAGAGAGGAAAGGGGTATATATAGTTTCAGTCAGCGTAATGGTAAACTTGTTGTGAAAGTAAGTGTGGGGCAATACTGTACCGTTTTTATTTGGTTTTAGGAAAGTAGTATAAAAATTCAATTTGCATTTCAAAATTGGTTTCCTAAAATATTGTATCCGTTATACGTAACGGAAAGAAATTGAACTAGACGTGAATCGAACACACAACCTTCTGAACTAGAGTCAAACATGCTACCATTGCACAACAAATCTGTTGTTGAGGAGTTTTAACTTACTTAACATTTATACTCTGTTTTTTTCTTTAGAATTAATGCCACATTTAGCTGCATGATTACAATTGACATATTCGTTATACAATTGACGCGCTACCATTGCGCCACTTCACCCCATTATATATGTGTGTGTATTAGATGTTTTAATTGAAGTAGATAATATAATATAATATAATATTATATAAAAAGTTTATCAACGGTTAAGGTAGATTAAATGATAAATAGGTACATTCAAAAAAAAAAAAAATGATAAATAGGTATTTTATTGTCAAACTTACATGGAATGCTGGATGGCTTCATAAGCATCAGATGCCGGTACAAAGTCATTAACTGCAACTTCCTTCTTCTCATTCTTCTTGTCTGAATAATTGTTAAGTATCAAATATTGTCATCTTTTTCTCCCTGAATTCCAAACACTGTTAAATATTGCTTTAGGTTTATAGAATTAAAATATAAAAAATAACAGAGTTAAAGGCAACACAAATAACAGTATGCACTTTGTTAAATTAAATCCAATAGCTAAACTGTCCGTTTCATCACAAATAACAATAGCACTTTGCTAGTAGTTTAAACCTTTGGAGATGATGTTTCCACTATGGCATTTTTGAGATAGCTTCTTCAACCAAATAGTATTAACTTACACATACTGGGAACACAAACATATGATGCACAAAGCTAACCAAATTGAAATAAATAACATATTGCAAAAAGATTCAAACCTTTAAAAAATCAAATAAAACTAAAACCTTGTAGAGACAACAGGAAGGTCTTTAAACTACATGGGCTAAAAATTGCACCTACTAGAATTTATAGAAAGGATTTGGAAGAGAAATCAGACCTGCATGATAACTAAAACATCCATAGGGTCACTGTCTTCAGACATAGTTATGGGGGTAGACAACTGATGAGTAAAGCACACGATCAACCTGCAGAAGAATAAACATTTCAGTAGACCTGTTAGATATTTTGTTCAACATTCTACGGGATAGGTTCTTCCATAGTTCTAAACTCTTTTTTACCCTCTTTTCCTGGTAAGACTGATTGCTTTGGCTCTGGTCATTAATATTCTATTTAACTTGTAAATTTACCAATGTCTAAAGGTTTGAATTGAACCCTGGACCCAATGCATAAATGCATAATGAAAGTGCAAACTACGCCTATAGCCATCAAACCAAAAAAATCAATTTGTCAATAAATTTTTTTAAACAAAAATATAACATTTTATGCAGCTTAAAGCCTTCTAATAATATTTGCCAGGATTTGACTATATTCTTTGTCCAAGTTTAACAACATTGTTTACATGTACCTAAAATTGAGTTGACTATATTAAAGAATTTCAATAAGAAACTATTTGTTTGAATTGCATGTAAAAAAAATGATGTCATTATTTTTGTAAAATATTCCAACAATTGAGTGTAAATGTAGGACTTATGCTATTCAACTTCCAGCATCCTCATACACACAAAAGCATAAACCAAATCATAATAATCAAAATGTTGATTCAGAATGCAGATGTACTGCTTTCTGGCAAATGCACAACTACATTTCCCTAAACTATCAATTTAGAGTCTTGTTCTATAAGGTTAACATACTTCTGCTCTTTATCAATTTTTGCATTTTCTAAGTTCAAAACAATTAAGAGGAAGACAGAAGCAAAGTGGCATTGGATACACAAAACATACCTATACATCACAATCTCTATAAATTTCCCTACCAAATATGCTATCAAGCCATAATTAGGATGAAAAATTAACAACCAAAAAAACTTTCAATTAAAGAAAGAGTCAGTACCAAATTTAGGTAGTTTTTTTTACAATCAGACCTGAATACAAAACCACTCTACTTAATCAACAACTAAATGGTATATAGCTGTGTAAGAACAAATTGATACCAATTTCTAAAGAAACAAATGCATCAATCGAACCATATTCAATTTGCCGAAAAGTAAGAGTCTTGGAATCTCAATGGCTGAGAGTCACTCCCAATGGCTTCTCCATCACCCATCCCACAACTTCCAACGCCATTCTCTTCAATCCCATTCTCATAAAATGCTCCGAGCCGGAAACCCCCGCGGCCACCCACCGCAAATCCGCAACGTTTTCCACCACCAACCCATGGTCCCGGAGGAGCTTTTCAGCGTCATCTCGGACCCCAACGCCCATGAAGGTGAATCGGGGATTAGCCAGGAAGGCGAGGAGAGAATGGGGAGTGTAGTCCTTGTGCAAAAGTTGAAAAATCAGACAGCTTTTCCCGACGCAAAGCTGGAGCGTGGCGGTCGTGTTGTCGTCTTCCCCTGCAAGACACGGGTGCCACTCGATGTCAAGACCGACGATGAGGCTGTGGAGGACGTGGCGGTTGTTGTAGACGACCTCGTTCACCCATTGATCAACCTCAGCGCCTCTCTTTGTCACGGAACCGTCATATCGCCCCCAAGAAACTCAAAATTCTGGAAAAGCTTTCAACTTTGGATTAAGATGAAGTGATGGGTATGAAAATATGAAACACAGAAAGGTAGGAATAGAGAAATCTTGAGTGAGTTACTAAGTTTGAAGATGGAAACAGCGAAATCTTGAGTGGATAGAGGGAGAGAGGAAAGGGATATATATAATTTCAGTCAGCTTAAGGGATATATATAATTTCAGTCAGCTTAATTGTAAACTTGTTGTGAAAGTAAATTTGCATTTCAAAATTGGTTTCCTAAAAACGTCCTGCTAGATTATTGTGTCCGTTATAGACTTATAACGTATAGGTAAGGAATATGGAATATATTGAACCCGACGTGAATTGTCCGTTATAGACTTATAACGTATAGGTAAGGAATATATTGAACCCGACGTGAATCGAACACACAACCTTTTGATCTGGAGTCAGACGCGCTACCATTGCGCCACGGATCCACTGTTTGATTGTTTTAACTTACTTAACATTTATACTCTTTTTTTCTTTAGAATTAATGCCACATCTAGTCGCATGATTACAATTGACATATTCATTTTAATTAATTAACAAACAAAATAAATATGATTAATAATTGGTGATTAAATGTAAAAATATTATGGTAATCATATAATTGAAAGTAAAATTTAGTTTTCAAATTAAACTTTGTCTTGATTTAAAACGAAGTAAGAAACTTCTTTTATGAACGAGCAAGTAGTTTTATCTTTGAAATATGAGATGAACAAAAAGCTTCATATCTTAGCTTTGTTGCTTCGTCTATGCATGGGCGGATTCATTATGGGGGCAGCCACCCCCATTCCACCCCATTATATATGTGTGTGTGTGTATTAGATGTTTTAATTGAAGTAGATAATATAATACTCCGTATTATACAAAAAGTTTATCAACAGTTAAGGTAGATTAAATGATAAATAGGTATTTTATTGCTTAAAAAGATCAAGTGTGCAAAACTTGTTAATTGATTGCACTTTAATTATATTTTTCATTTGTAAATTTTTTAATGTTTATATTTTTCATTTTTTTAACAACAGGTTACTACGAATAGTGAACTACTGTTTGCAACAACAAATTTTTTTTTTTTTTTTTTTTTTGCAACTTGTAATTATATTTTTAAATATTTTTATTTGATCTATTCTTTTATTATAAATTTTATTGTTCAACATTGTTATGAATTTTATGCAACAAGTTGATAAAAGTCTATGAACGTTTTTTATATAGACTTTTATAGAGTCTTATAAAGTTTTAAAAAGTTTTGAACGATTCTATGAAAGTCAATCAAAATTTATTAAAATCTATCATTTTGAAAGTCTTTAAAACTCTACAAAAGTCATGATTGAATACACCCCCATAATATTGAAGAGCTAATTACTGATTGACAAACAAGGACATTGCGAGGTAGTTTCCCACTTCAATTTGTTGTGTGATTTGAATACTCTTTTTGTCAATAAATTTCACAAGTAATTAATATGATTGGCTTAATTATATTTTTTTTATTCTTTTTATTTTTTTAAAACAATTATTATTATTATTATTATTATTATTATTATTATTATTATTATTATTATTATTATTATTATTATTATTATTATTATTATGTCATTTTACATGTTAATCTAAACAGCTAATTTTTTCAAATATTTTTTTACCAACCGTTGATATAATTCGCTGTTCAAATTCGCTAATATAATCTGCTAACGCTAACCGCTAACTGCTGATTGTCAAACAAGGATATTGCGAGTTAGTTCTCACTTCAATTTGTTGTGTGATCTTAATACTCTCTTTGTCAACAAATCCCTCAAGTAGTTAATATGATTGGCTTTATTAATTATATTTTTTAAATTTTTACATGGTATTAATAAAATACTTGGTAAACAAATATATAGCATTATTTTGTATTATAAATTTGATATTTAATTAAAAAATAATGCACAAAAAAAGACAGTGTAGTGAATATAATCAATTGATTAATTTGAAATTTGAATGTAAAGAATTTTTACTTGGAGAAATATAAAGACAATATAACTAATAAAATTATGTATCTTAATTAATTTATTGATAATGAATAATTTTATTTTTTGAATAAAGACATTGTTGGGACAATGTAGCGAATATAGTCAATTGATGAATTTGAATGTAAAGAATTTTTATATTCGAGAAAAATAAAGATAATATAACTAATGAAATTATTTCTCTCATTTAATTTATTGATAATGAATAATATGTTTTTGAATAAAGACACTGTAGACACATAATTCTAAATTTAAAATATGCATATGTATTAGTTTTTGTTGTAGCTACTAAATTATTATTTAATTTAATAAGACTAAAATAGAGTACTAATTGTCTAATTATGCCAACTTTGATTGGGATGGGGTTCGAACCTAAGACCTTTCTTATTGAAATCAATGAGTAAGTTAACGGTAAACTAACAGAAATTAACGAAAAAGATAATATTTAACGGAAAAATTTACGGATAATCATATTCATTAAGGATAAATTAGGAAATCTTAAGGAAAAATTAAAATCTGATCAATCTGAGTCATTCATTTTATTAAAAAATTTGACCACCATTTTTTGTACCTATTATAGGCCTAAATCTCTTGGGCTCTTATTAGTATAGTAGATATAGATATATATTACAAAAATGCGCCTAAGTTTTGAAGGGAACTTGGCTAGGAGAATTTTACTTTTATATATATATATATATATATAGGGGAGGCTTCAAGTAAGAACCTTTTGTTAGGTAGGAACTTAAGAACTAATCTAATCCATTCAAACTTGATTAATCAATGGTCTAGATAATTAAATATTTTTATGTGCATTTTAAACACAATTAATTAAAAAGGATATTAGTGTAATTTAATCCAATTATCAAGATTAAAATCAAATATTATAATTAGATTCTTTCCAAGATTTTAGGATAACAGATAAGAAAGGAGTCGTATTGATTATGAATCTGCAGGCATTCATATGATTTGCAGTGGAACTTTTTTTTTTTTTGAAAGTTTTGCAGTGGAACTTAAATTATATAATATTTAAATAATATTAACGTTAATATTTGAGTGGAATTCAAATATTATCCATAAAATGTACTATAGATATTTAAATAATATTATTGTTAATATTTTGAGTGGAATTCAAATATTATCCATATATTTACTATAGTGTTGTTTGACTTCATATGAACATCTGTATAATTGTGTTCTACTATAAACGTCCATTCCATTGGGCCTAGGGCTGGGCACTTCGGGTTTTGGTTCGGTTTTTTTCGATTTCGGTTTCGGTTTCGGTTTTTCGGTTTTAAAAAAATTAAACCATTCGGTTTAAAATAGAGTTCGGTTTCGATTTCGGTTTGAAAAGTTCGGTTCGGTTTCGGTTTCGGTTCGGTATTCGGTTCAGTTTTGGTGAAAGTCTACTATTTGAACGTTTCTTTTTTTGCCTAACCAATTGTTCAGTTGGCTCACTTGGAGTGCCACTTGAAGTGTTTTGTTGATGACAAGATGAAGAATCATTCATCTATAGTTAATATTTGAAAAATAAAAATTATTAAAACACCAAATGTTGGGACTTACAACTTGGAGTTGAGATTTGAAGACTTGAGGAGTTAAAATTATTAATTATTATAATATTTATATATAATACTAGCATTTTGTACGCGTGATGCACGAAAATTTATGTCTAACATTACAAAATTGATAAATGCAAATAATTACAAATTATAGTTCAAATTATATTTCGCAATTCCTTAAAGTAGTAAATTTTAATCATCGTATTTGAAAATTATAGAGATGAACAAAATTTATATTTTTTTATTAATAATATAAACAATTTTGATATAATTTATATTTTGTTTTTACAATAATTAAATAATATATCTATAATTCTAAACTAGTACCTGGTCACATATATTGGTACGTGTGTATATCGTTATATATATATAATGATTTTAATAAAATGATAATTAAAGAATAGAAAAAAGATATCATAGTTAATTTTATATATATATATATATATATATATATATATATATATATATATATATATATATATATATATATATATATAGGTGTATGATAATAATGATAGAATTATGAAATTTTTAGAATTAAATAGCAACGGTGTAATAACGGTATAATGGTATTTTAGTCTACAAGAATGTAGTACGGACAATTTTATTCAGTATATTTGAAATGTGCAACATTTAATGAAAAATGTGTACCTTTATTACCATACAAATGTGAATATAGTTATAAATGTGGCTATAGCTTAGTGGTTAAAGCTCTTAGTTTATAACCAAATGAGTAAGGGTTCAAACCTCACCTTAAACATTTAGTATAATACATATCTATTATTATAAATTAAAAAAAAAAAAAAAAGCAGAAAACCGATCGGTTTTAACCCTAACCGAACCGAACCGATCGGTTTCCTCAAACCAAGCACCGATCGATTCTTCGGTTTGAGGCCGAATATGCTTTGTGGCAGTATTACAATGGAATCAAATGATAAAAAAGCTTTTCGTTATCAACTATGTAATAAAGCCGGAATGATAAAACTAAGAAATTGTATAAATGGGCATATTCGATGTGTTGGATATCCCGCCCATAGAACCTATTGCACTAGATGCTCAATCAAATTGGTTCGCAGGTTTCTTTGATGCTGATGGGCACATTGGTACCGGTTCGGTTCGGTTCGGATAAACTGAACCGAAATGCCCAGCCCTAATTGGGCCAACGCCACCAACTCACCAACTAATGTTTTGACACACTCTTATCAACTTGGCTTTTTAGTTAATGTATTGCATAAGCAGCCTCAAGATCAGGAAATACATTATCGATGAAATCAAATCACGATTGTTGGTCACTGAACAGGTCCGTCAATGAATCTTCAAATATGCAATCTGATAGTACAAGTGTGCACTTGGGTTTATCTGTATGTGCCATAATGTGCAAAAAAATTTTAGAGTTCAAATCCAAGGAAACTAGGATGTTGTTATACATTTCGGTGTGCACTTTCGGAAAAATTGTCGTGCTATGACGTATAGACTAAGAGCAACACATAATGTCAAAGACGAAACTGAAACTGGTGTGCACCTGGGTTATACTGTGTGTGTCAAAGTGTGCAGTGGTACTGACAGATTAAAACCTCATAAACCAGGATGAGGTGTTGTGCTATGGTGTGCACTTGGGTTTCACGTGTGTGTCATACTGTGCATAATTAGTTTCTGCATAGAAAGGCGAACAAGAAGTTGGTGTGCACGAGGGTTACACTATGTGTGCCATAATTGTAGTATTATTGTGACTATTAACTGAGCGTGCACTTAGGTTGATCTGTGTGTGCCATTATATGCAAAAATTGTAATAGATTGAATCCACGAAAACCATGATGTTGTTATACACTTCTGTGTGAACTTGTGTAAAAATGTCAATGCCAAAACGTAGTGGATGAGTGTGTGACATACTGCATTCTGTGTGCCATATTGTATTGTGTGTGCCTAAATGTGCAAAACTACTAATATACTGTAATCGCGGAAGCCAGATTGATACTACTAATACAATGTAGCTCTTAGGTTGAACTGTGAGTTCAATAATGTGCAAAAATGAACTGTGAGTGCCATAATGTGCAAAAACACTGATAGATTGAATCCTTGTAAACCAGGATGATATTAAAGATGGCGTTGTGCACATGGGTAAAATTGGGTGTGCCATAATATGTATGTAGAATTATTGTGACCATGAACTAGCGTTCACTTAGGTTGATAAGTGTGCGTCCTTATGTGCAAAAATTCTAATAGATTGAATCCACGGAAACCAAAATGATGTTATATACTTCTGTGTGCACTTACTTAAAAATGTCTATGCCATAACGTAAAGGATGAGTGTGTGCCATATTGCACGCACTTGGGGTGACTATGTGCACTTGGGTTACATTGTGTATGCCATAAGTGTATACCATAATTTGCAGACTTAATTTTTGTATGAAAAGACGTTAAACATTTTGGTGTGCACTTAGATAGAACTGTGTGTGCACTTGGGTTAAGGAGTTTGTGCAAAAATGCTGAAGAAAACTGATGAACCTGGCAAAAGAGTGCGCACCAAGTGCTTGCTATAACGCAACTTTGACTTGCTCTTATCTGGAAGAAAAGAGAAGAAGTGTATGGATTATGGCTACTGCTCAGTACAAAGGGTTGGACTCTATTGCATTGCAAATATCGAAGCTGTTGGTGTAAAATTTGATTTTGCGGCTGAATTTCACAAAAAGCTAAACAAATGTCAATCTCCATTTTTGAAACCTATTCAGCAACAAACAAATTTCGCTGCTTGGGATTCCTCTCGTCGTCCATTGCTTCAAACACTAAAACTACGAACTGGAGAGGGGAAATCAACAAATTGGGAGTGCTTCAGTTCTACACTTCGAGAAGGATGATTGCGTCATTGCAGTGTGTTTATGAGGAGAAAAATGCGGAATTACATATATGCATATAGACCATTGATCAATCAAAATAAATGGTTAAGATGAGTTCCAATATGAATGTCAATCTATATATATATATATATATATATATATATATATATATATATAGATTAATTATTTCCCTAATACCTAATTTATAATTCTAACTTTAAATAATTATTATTATTATTATTATTATTATTATTATTATTATTATTAACATTAACATTTGATTAGGTTTATAAATTCCGTGTAATGTATATAGGTACTATGCATCAATTCTAAATTTCCTAGTATAATAATATTCTTCTTCCCATATATATATATATATATATATATATATATATATATATATATATATATATATATATTATTTGTATATAATATCTATATATAAATAATGGATGATATTACAGAAATGACCCTAAGTGTAGGGCGGAGGGGGGGGGGGGGGGTGGGGAATTTGGCTAGTAGAATTTTACTTTTAATTAGATATAATAATTATAATAATAATAATTATATATATATATATATATATATATATATATATATATATATATATATATATATATATATATATATATATATATAGTGAAAGGTTCCTGTGCATTTGTTGCTTCCCGTGCGGATGTGCGGTGGATTAATGTGCGTGAGATTTGTACTCAATGTGCGTGAGTGTTGTGTTTAATGTGCCTGAGATTTGTATTTAATGTGCGTGAATGAGTAAAATGCAGCAGAAAATATTATGTCAGCTTCTTCCCCATCCCCAGTAGTCATTTGCCCTCCCTGATGATGATGCGGAGGCGAGCTATGGAGGTTAAGAATTATGGGAATAAT